TGTAATTTGCACTCACATTTCGTATTAATTGCAATAAAAACGTATTTGATATCAAATTATTTAGCATTGAATTCCATTTGGCAATTAATTGTTTAAGAACATCGCAAAAATTTAATCAGAAATTGAAAACGAAAAATTTAGGAAACAGAGGGAAAGCGAGATAGAGACTGGAAGACTGAGAAGGTGATGTGTGGTGCTTGAAGTTAATTAATTTCATATATTTCTCAAGACATGTAATTTGAATTTTCAATTTATTTTCAATGCTGCAAGCCTGCAATATTTGAGGCAGAAAAAACCGAGCGCCCGCATGGGCAAGTTGTGACCCCGTTGCCAAAAAGCAAAAGCCATCGGATGCCAGTCCTCACATGCCGGGATGTCGGCATTACCCCAATCCGTGACAGCCTATCACAGGCATGTCACAAAGTATTCGCACATATTTTGATTAAAATTGCAGGTACAAGCTGCGAACTGCGAGCTGCGAGTGTGTGTGTGTGTGTGTGTACCGACTGCTGCCTGTCTGGCAGCGATTTGTTCGCCCTTCGTTGCCAATTGATTGAATTGAGCACATTGAGCCATGAAATGTTTGCCCGACGGCTAACAACTAAATCACCGTTGGCAGCTTTGCATGATTTCTCTCTCCCCCCCCTCTCTCTCTCTCTCTCTCTCTCTCTCTCTCTCTCACTCTCTATCAGTCTAAGGCAAAAGTCAAGTCACAGAGTGTAGGCCGCAGGTTAGCTTAAGTAGACTCAACTGACAGATACCGCGCAAATAGTCAAACAGATTTTATTCTACTCCCATTATTTGTATTGATATATATTGCGTAATTACTTTTTACAGCGTATATTTGATAGTTGTTAAAAAATAAAACAGGTATAATGCTTTACATTGTTTAAGAAATAAACTTCATTCCAGGGTATATCAAACATTAGATGACATGCCATGGCAAAATTTGAAGTATGCATGAGCTTATGTCCAATACAGGGTATCTTAAGATGGCGTAATAGAAAATGCCTCTGGCCGTCGACTGCAAGCGTAGACAACGCTTGGCGTTGGCGTTGGCGTTGGCTTTGGCGTCGGCGGTAGCGCATTTTGCAATATTTCCTGAATCGCATAGATTTTTCTTCGCATAGCGGAGACAATTTTGTGCACATTTTCGCCGGAGAGTTGTCTTCCTACTTGCTTTTTTCTACCCTATAAACTTCCGTGAAAAGTTTCGCTGGGGTTTTGGTTTTGTTGTCAGACAGCTATCGAAAAAGTTTTCGGCAATGTTTGCCCAAGAGCGTAGCGAACTAACAAAATGAGTTTATTTTTTGCTTAATTTCGCACAAATTAAAAACGTCGAATCCGGCTCAGTTACGGCTCCGAAAATCCGTCCATAGAAAAAAAATCAAAAAAAAAGATGAAGAAGAAGCAAAAAGAAAAATACAAAAAGTTGAAACTGGGAAACAGCGCCATTTTTCGTCTTTCAAACTTTTTGAAGGCACTGTATGGCCAGCCATAAATATATAAGTCAGGCATGCGTGTGTGGATATGTGAGTGTGTGTGTGTGTGTGTGCGTGTAAATTATATAATTTTTATTAAGAGCTTTTCGTTTTTGGTAGATATCGTGTGCTGCCTTCTTAAAAGTCGATTTCACGAACTTATCAGACATTCAATGAGTTGGCAAAGTGCTTAATGCGCCTCTTACATATATAAAAAAGTGTAAGCTGAGCAGATTTTTCGGGGAAGCCAAAAGCGTTTCGCTTAACGCTTTAATAAAAACTGGATTATGGTTCGCCACAAGCGCCATTAAATGTTGCCTTAACATGTACAGAAGTCGCAGATATAAAAGGTTTTACACGATGGGCTCTTTATGTTCCGGCTGCTGTTTAAACATTGCAAGTGACAGAATGAAGTGCTGAATTACTGTCTGCTTGAGGTATCAATGGATTATATAAAGTTGAAGATATTCTTTCGATTTGCTTGTGAAGCGGGCTACATACATATTTGGGATACATTAGCTACTAATAACGACCATTAATAATAGCTGAAATAATTGTGAAAGGCACTGTATAAATCTAACCAAATTCTGACTAAAGTAACTAATAAGAGTGTAAGGTGGCTCAAGCGATTATTTTTTTTTTTTCATAACTGTGCAATCAAATTTCAACATTTTTATTCCAACAAATTCCTTGCAGCGACTCACATACACTTTTTACATTATAAAATCGAAGCTCAACTCAATATAAGCTTGTTCAAAAGGTATTTCACATTGAAATGTTGTGTGTATTTTTTAACGAATGGTAAACCACGAATGCCCTCTGGCAGCTTGGTCAATATGCATTGCACCACGCCCTTTCCCATACACTTGGCCCACTGAAATGCCAGAGCGTCTGCCTCGCCTTGCTGCGCCGCGCCGCTCCTTGTCGCAGCCTATATGAAGTGAAGCGAATGAACTCGCGCAACCATTTGGCTAATTGTTCAGTTTGTTTTACGTGTAAGGCAACAAATTGGCCAAAGCACACGTTTGCCAACAGCAGCGGCAGCTGTTGAAGTCCAAAGGTAGTCCGCATTGGCATGTCCTCGACTCGCCGCTCGCACTGCCCCCGTTTGTGGCAGTTAGCGAGGCAGGGTTCATAATAATTTAAATGCTCGGCACACAAAGTGACATGGCAAAGACAAACAAAGGTCAAACTGAGGCTACTGTTGCTGCTGCTTTTGCTGCGACGGCTGCGACGGCTGCGACGGCTGCGATGGCTGCGACTGCTGCGACTCCTCTGGCTGCAGCTGCAAATGGCTACGTGACAGGACGCAGTGCAGTGGCTCGCATTTAAATCCAAGAGCAGCAGCAACGAAATTAGCACGACAAAGGGACAACTCAGGCTATGGATGGAGAGGGGGAGGGGTAGCTGGTTAGAGTAGGGCAACTCGAGGCAATTGTACGTAGTGCAGTTAATTTGCCATTGCAAAGCAACAGCAAACGCTGAGCAAATAGCAAACGAGTCGCGTGGACAGCAGCAGCAGCAGCAGCAGGAGTAGTTGCTGAGCCTGCAGCCTGCCGACTGCTAGTTGTCCGCTGCCTGGACAACCGGATCAACAACTAAGCAAACAAATGGCGTTGCAATTGGGCACGTTTTGGGCAAAGCGCTCGGAATCACAGTCAAAGTCGTAACCCAATGGAAATGAACTGCGACACGAACTGGACACAGACAGGACGCAGCAAAAAGGACACCAGACAAAATGCAACTCGACTCAACTCCACTCAAACCAACTGAGCCTGTTAGCTCATGCCAATCCAACGTACGTGTGGCTAATGATGTTGCAGTCAGTTACAGGCCGAGCTTCCGAAGCAGATTCAAATGCTGATGCAGATGCAGATGCTGATGCAGATGCGATTCCTTGACTTGGCGACGTGTCAGATGGGCAATCGGTACGCACAATTTGATTGGAAAATGTGGACAGCAGCAGCAGGAGCAGCAGCCTCGACCTAAACTGAACCACTTAAATGACCACAAGCACGCATACGCACACTATGCTGCAAATAAGAAACTATGACTAGTTTGCAGTCACAAATGCCAGCACTAAAAGCCAACTAAACGCTGCAGGACAAAAATAAATAGAAAAAGAAAAGTAAAAAAGCGATGTGAAATTAAGAAACAGAGGACAACACAGCAGCCAAGGCGAAATTTCTGCTTGCACAGGCCGAGGGGAGCACACACACAGCCGAATAGAGCAGGAAAATGTATGGAAGCCGAGTTTGACTGATGGAAAGATACCCTGCAATCTGCTCAGCATAAACTTAACCAATTTTTTATATATAAAAGACTTGGCCATCAACTGAGTTTGTTCTTTATTGCTTAATATAATTTGCCTGCCAAATATTGAGAGACTAGACTAGAAGTGTCACAGACCTTAAATAAATGTTGCTCTTTGTGCAGGGTATTCGAAAATCAAAAAAAAAGAAGATGGAAAAACAAAAAGGGGCGAAACTTTTTGCTTTAGTTAAGAGCAACAGACGGCAACGCCCGGGCTGCAATGGCATAAAAGAAACATAACTAATTTGCATAAAATGTGGAAAACACGGTGCCTATATAGAGACCACTGCCGGCTAGTGGGGGGCGTGGTCGGCTTGGTGTGGCGCTGCTGCAAAGTTTCCTCCTCTTGCCGGAGCGGGAAAATCGAGTCAAAGTCGTAAGTGAAGAGTTGCTCGCTGTGCACTGGCCTGTAGTCCAGGTAAATTTACGGACAACTTTTTGGCACAAAATTTAGCCAAAAAATAGTAAACTAAATGAAAGTGCCACGCCCAACAGCCAGCCGCCCCGGCGATTCACTACAGCGAACCTTGTATATGCGACTAAACAAAAGATATTTTTGCATCACAAAGTGAAAGTTATGCGCATGGAAGTGTGTGTGTGAGTGTGTGTAGGTGTGTGAGTGTGTGTGAGTGTGTGTTTGTCGTACCCCCATATTAGCGGTTTGTATCTTTTGCAACATGACCACGTTGAGACAAAGTTGTAGGCCAAATTGTCAGCAAACAATGTGCAAAGTCGGTTCACTCTAAACTGTAGTGTGACTGCCTGAGAGTGTGTGTGCGGGCAAGCTACACCCTGTGTGTTTAACTATGCATAAGAAAAGAATATGTGTAGTGGGGTGTATCCACTTTGAAGTATGAGCTTTAAATGAAATCTGTTGTAAAGGCACAACTAAATTATTTGAAATATGCGACAATCCTTTAGGAATGTTTGAATTCTGTGATTTTTATTTTAAATTTAGCTATTCAATTGAAATGGTGTATTATCAATCGACAGAAATTCGAGTGATTTTTTTACGCATCGAAAGCTGAAATGATTTTCGACAATGTCTGCAAATTCATGCAGGATTTCAGGTGATTCGACTTTTGCCCAAGTCTCACTATAAAATACTTTGCATTTTCCACAATATTTATATACAATACGCGCATTTATCTCCTTAAAATCTGCACTTCCATAAAAATGTAACGGATTCTTACTTGTTTTTTTCAGTTTGGTGAATCAATCGATGGCGGATGCGGACAAAATTCGGACGATGGTGTCTCGAGCTCTGCGCGTGTGGGAGACCAATTCGAAGCTGACATTCCGTGAAGTGTACAGCGATCAGGCGGATATACAGGTTCTCTTTGCACGGTGCGTATAAAATGTCGAATGTGGGCGTGGGCGTGGGAGTGGGTGTGGGTGTGGGTGTGAGTGGGCTTGTGGTTGGGCAGCAACTGGGCTGTGGGTGAATGTTATTTGCTCAGCCACCTCATGTAGACCATAAAAAAAGCATTCTTTAGTGCCATAAAGATGGGCAGCACATAAAATTGCACTTAAAACCAGGCAACGATAAATAAGCCAAGTATTAAACCATGAAACCAATGATGATGATGACGAAGACGACGACGACGACAACGAAGACGATGACGACAGCTACAAGAGCGAAGGAGATTTGCCTGCATCCTGAATACCATTTTCAAATCAAAGAGTTTATGTTGCAGCTGCTTTGCCGTTTTTTCTAGATAAGCTTTATTTTTGCAAGCTCGTAACTTCGATGCCATTGAATTAACTAATCAAAGTTCTGACTGACTAACTCGTTCTCTTCTCCTTCTTCGTCTTCCTGCAGGCGCGATCATGGCGATGGGTATAAATTCGACGGACCCGGCCAGGTGCTAGCTCATGCCTTCTATCCGGGCGTCGGGCGCGGTGGCGATGCACATTTCGATGCCGAGGAAACCTGGGAGTTCGATGCCAGCAATGATGATAGTCGTGGTAAGTGGGCGTGGCAATAGCAACACCAGCAGCTGCTGCTGGTGCTGCGGTCGGTATATAATTTAGTCAGCAAATGCAATGCATAAATTAATAACATTAGATAATAACACACAATAATAATCAACAACATCATCATCATCAGTAGCAGCAGCAGCATCAGTGGTGGCAGCGGCTGTTGTTGCGGTCAGATTGCGGCTAAAAGCCTGCGGACAAATTGCAGGCGCCTAAACCACAGCGGCACCGCCTTGTTGCAAGTGGCAAAATCAATAAACGTTGGCGCCGGCTGCCTGCATGCGCTTTATAATTTAGCACCATAAATTGCGTTCCTAGCTGCAGCTCCAAAGAACCCTAAAACCCATAGCCGAATAAACGCCAAGCAAAAACCCGCTCCGAAACCAGAATCCAATGTCGACAATTTTAATGGTTTTTAATGCCAATAAAAAATTGTCAGCGTGACGCGTGGCGCTGGCCAAACGCAACAACGACCAGTCCTTACATACCCTGTAATCATGAAATGTAGAAAAGCGGCATATTAGAGTCTTCAAATATTCATTTTAATTTTAATTCCAATCCAAATGAGTTTTACTTTATGCACCCAACTATATCAAAGTTTTAGGCAATAAATTAAAGTCCTGTCAACAGATGAAAGGGCATCTACAGCAGCTTCCACATCATGATGTATGCATGATCTTTACCCTAATTACAGAGCATCTTACAGTCGAGCACAAGCGCCTTGCTGCCACACAACTTGTGCTCTTCATTGTAAATGTTGCAACGACGCCATTTTTATGCCACTTACAAAGTCGTCAAGGCGACGACGCGTTGTTGTCTCCTTATTTTTTTTATATTTTTGCCTCGGTCGCTGGATGCCATTAACCAATCGCATGTTGTCGCATTTTACAGGCACCAACTTTCTGAATGTGGCGCTGCATGAACTGGGCCACTCGCTGGGGCTGGGCCACTCCTCGGACTCGAATGCGGTCATGTTTCCCTGGTATCAGAACAATGAGGTCGATGGCAAATTGCCCGACGATGATCGCATCGGCATACAAGAGCTGTACGGGGCCAAAGAAAAGGTTTGGGGTCCCTATCGACCGGTAACCACAACGAGCACCACAACCACAACTACAATGCGTACGCTTACCTATTATCCGCAGCAACGACCCACATATCCCAATCATTATCCGAACTATTACCCCAACTATTATCCACGAGAGCGAGATCGTGAACGTGAGCGTGAACAAGAGCGTGAGCGTGAGCGTGAGCGAGAGCGAGAGCGAGAGCGTGAACGAGAGCGTGAACGAGAGCGCGAGCGACAACGTAAACGACAGCATGAAGAACGAGAAAGAGAACGCGAGCGAGAGCGAGAAAGACAGCGAGATCGCGAAAGGGAGCGCGAGCGTAATCGAGAACCCCTAACAACAACGTCAACAACGAGAGCGCCAACAACAAGGAGCACGACAGCAGCAACAAGAAGAACACCAGCCACTCATCCCACGCACAGGCCCTACAACTACCCCACAGTGCATAGACACAATAAGCCACATAAGCCACGGAAACCCAAGCCAGACAATTGCATGACCTCATACGATGCCATCTCCATGATACGCAGAGAGTTGTTTATCTTCAGAGGACAGGTGAGAAACACGTAGAAATATAATAGATGACTGCTTTTTTTAAATAAATCAATATTTTGGATCAAGCATAACCCGAAGCTTACAAATTAAGAAATCTATAGAAAAACGCTTTGATTATTTTGCTTTTAGGTAAAATTAAAAAAAAATCAATTGAAAATCTAGAAATCTTATTAGTAAATGGACAAACATATCTGATGCAATAAAAATTTAGTTTTATGAAAATGTCGATATTACTTAACTGTAATCTTAGTTACACCTTTATATTTGCTATATTTATCTTTAATATTGACTCCAATTGTTGCAGTTCCTGTGGCGCATCGGTGCCAAGGGCTTATATAATGGCTATCCAACGGAAACGCGTCGCCATTGGGCCGCACTGCCCGAGGACTTTAACAAGGTGGATGCCGTCTATGAGAATCAACAGCGTCAAATTGTCTTCTTTATAGGTAAGCAAGCCTCTATCTCTATGGCAGCAAGCCCTATTAAACTGTTTATCTTTCCGCCCACAGGTCGGCAGTATTACGTCTTCGATTCAGTCACCTTGGCGCCGGGCTACCCACAGCCTTTGACCAGCCTGGGTCTGCCACCCACTCTCACGCATGTGGATGCCGCCTTTGTATGGGGCTACAATAATAGGACGTATTTAACGAGTGGAACGTTGTACTGGCGCATAGACGACAACACGGGCAAGGTGGAGCTGGACTATCCCCGGGACATGTCCTTCTGGGCGGGCGTGGGCTACAATATAGATGCAGCCTTCCAGTATACGAATGGGAAGACCTATTTCTTCAAGAACTTGGGCTACTGGGAGTTCAACGATGCTCTCATAAAGGTGGCCCACGCTCGCCCCAAGCTCTCTTCCCGCAGATGGATGCAGTGTGCGCGCAGCGTCAACGATGTGGATGAGGAACAGCGCTGGACGGCTCCCCTGGTATCCGGCAGCAATGACACCACGGATGGCAGCGCCGCCTCGACTAGCTTAAGCCAACAGGATCATAGTCTAATTGTCATCCTTCTGGTGGCATTCACATACTTAGCCTGGCGTAGTTAAGATTGCCACAGCATTCATCTTTTAAAAGCGTGGCATAGCTGTAGGCCTAGTTTTAAGGCATCGACCATAAGCAACCGGGTACTCGAGCATTGGTCTATGTACATACATAGATATAGATAGAACTTATATAGAGACGTGTATAACGGCTCTACTGTCAGACAGTAGATCGCTCCAAAACGATAATACACACAGCGGCCTTACGCATCCATGTGCGAGTGTTTATTTTAGCAATCCAAAATACTTGACACTTGCTGTTGAAGAACAAGACAGAAAACTAAATAAACTAAATAAACTAAAATATATCTATAACTTGCCAGACGCCAATTTCCGAATTGCTTTCTTCTTTCGCATCTTTTTTATAAAGTTTACAACTTTTATAAATATATGATAACTGATAGAAATCTAGTTTTATGCGCAGTGAATCCGATAAAGAATGTCTCGAATTTTCTCACGCCACACTGCCTTGTATAATTAAGTACAGTATTCCCCTCTATGAACGAACAGATTGGCCCGACTCTTAGTAGCTATGAGCTGCCCGCATTTGTTTTGTATTTTTTTAAATTGACTATAAAACAAACGAAAAACCCTTCTAATTATTTATATTTAAATAATGTGATATTATCATAAAATTTGATATGTGTGCGATTCAAGAATGAACCAAAATAACATACACTCAAGATCAGAAACCATTTATACAACAATTCGAGTTAGACATATATATTTTGTTAGTTTTAGTTCTTTGCATCTGTATATTTATATCCCAAAACAATAAATACATGTAAATTGAATATATTCATTCATACATACTTTTATAATAAATAAATAAATAAATACATACAGATACTCCATGTCTACGATATTTTAATGGCAAATTCAAATAGTTTCTTAATCTATATTATTTATATGAGATATACTTATGGTATATGATGGATGCAAATGATTTACTAATCAATTGTTTAATTAGCGATTCAGAAAAATATTAATAGTTTTTAATTTAATAGTTTAATAGTTTTTTATGAAATAGTTTAATAGTTTTTTATGAAAATGCGACTTTGAGTAAACGATAAAGACATGTCTTCATATCGTATTTGCTCCAAGCATTTGATATTAAACGTTGTTGATAACAATCTGCAGAGGTTGTACAGTTTAAGCACCAATCAAATATCTAGAAAATACTTATAGTATATGCATTTATCATTAGCCCATGACGAGCTTTGAGAAATTTCAAACTTAGCATGAAAGCGCTTTTTATTTGCAATAAGGGCCGTTTTGTTATAGGTAATGCCATTCGTAGTGGAAGTCTGAGTAATTTATGGCTAAAGTTCAATTCCAGTTGTTTATGGTACACACAGCTTTATGTACATGTTCCTATTCGCGATAAAAAATAATAATTAGTTGCTCTACGTAGAAATATAGTAAAAAAACCAAAAACTCCATTTAAGTAAAAAAAACAGATGTATCATGTTTAATGATAATGCCCTTATCTAGCGTTATAGACAGGTAAATAAGAATGGCTTAGATATATATATATATATATATTATATATTATCAGTATGTATGTATATATCGGTATATATATATATATATATATATATGTATACCTATATATACATATATATATAAATATATATAACTGATAATTGGGGCAGTAACAGTTAGACAATATATGCCAAAACGCTAAAGAGTGTAAAACATATGATATAGTTTCTATATAATGCGTAATCCTCCATTATCTGTATAATTTAACCATGAAAGATGACCCTTGATGTCAGTAGCTGCACCTACTGATAGCATTGTAATGTTCAATTATACATTATTTACCGACTTTTGTTATCGCAGCGTGAGTGAACTGTCGTTTGGTTAAGGTGCTGCTGAAATGCATGCCATCAGCTGAAGCTTTATATTCGATATTCGCCCAGTTCAATTGCACTTGGGCCTCTAGACTGCCAGAGCTTGTGTGCTGCTCCAATTGTCATTAGTCGATGCGTCATGACCCGTGACGACATCGAAGTGAGTCCCGATTCCGAGTTCTAGACCGAGACCGAAACCGAACACGAATGCCCAAAAACCAGATCCATAGCCCGCCGCGCTGACAGTCGCGCATAAACCACAGACGTGGACAGTAGTTGCCGGTTCAATATATATATACTATATATATTCAAATAGGGTCGCACGACGTGAAAATATAAAGCCATATATATACGTGCAAGCACCTACACAGCAAAAAGTACGTCGCGACATAAAAAAAATTTATATATAAATATATATTGTATAACTGCCTATATTAAATTAGAAACAATTGTGAGTAGAGGTCGAGCGAGCATGGAAATTGTGCAAAGCTCAGTGTCGCATAGTTAAAGACAATTCAAGGCCGCACCTATATAGATATCGAACTGTAGCGGAGCTGATAACGCCCCAACTACACCTTGTTTGCCACTCTGACTAAGCCCCAACCCAGAGATAGTTGCTTATTGTAATTATATAGAAGTTCAACTCTTAATCTGTGTGGTGATAGCCCAAGGGCTTGTCAGATCTATGACACAACATTGATTGCTTGAAACTCTAGCAACAGGTAGCATTAGTCGATATCTAATCATTAAACATGACAACTGCAAAGTGCCCGGAAATACACTTTTGACTATTATCTATTCCTACCAAAAACGAATTTCAATAAATCAAAGTCCTATGTATACACCATCAGATAACCGCGTCCAAAACACATATTTCACCGACACGATGTCGTCCATTGATAATCTGTCCATACGCCCGCTGAGCGCTGCGCTGGCCCTGAAAGCGCAACAGGAGCTTGGCGAGGTGCCCGAGCGCGTGCCAGAGGATATTGAGACGATGCGCATTTGGATCTCAAAGCAACCCCATCTGAAAGCCCGCGAAGATGCACAGTTTCTGGTCGCCTTTCTGCGAGGTTGCAAATACAGCCTAGAGAAGACGAAGCTCAAGCTGGACAACTTCTACGCAATGCGAGGCGCTGTCCCGGAACTGTACAAGAACCGCTTTGTGGGCGAGAAACAGCTGAGCATACTCAAAACAGCGTAGGTGCTATGTAACCTAATATAATTAAATCGAATATATATGTGAATATATCTAAATACAAATATATGAATATATATCTTTTAGCTGCCTGCTGCGTCTGTCGCAGCCTCTGCAAGTGGACGGTCCGCGCATACACATCTCTCGCTATGCGCAATACGATTCCAGCAAGTACTCCATTGCGGAGGTCATGCAGGTCAACACCATGCTGGGCGAGATACAAATTAGAGAAGATGACAATGCAATGGTGTCTGGATTTGTGGAGATAATTGATATGAAAGGCGTCACTGCCGGTCACATGTTCCAATTCGACCCGGTCCTGATCAAGAAGTTGGCTGTGCTCGGAGACAAAGCGCTGCCGTATAGACCCAAGGGATTCCATTTCATCAATGCACCAACTATAGCTGAGAAGGCAATGTCCATAGCCAAGAGCTTAATGAGCGACAAGATACGCAAACGGGTGAGTCTGAAAAGGATTTTGAATTAATATGCATAGAAACTAACTTTAATTACAATCTTGTCCTCCTCAGTTCCATATACACTCCAAGCTGGATTCGCTGTACAAATACGTTCCTAAGGAATATTTGCCCATTGAGTATGGCGGCACCAATGGCAATATACAAGATATCGTCGACACCTGGACAAAAAAGCTGTTGGAGTACACGGAGTTCTTCCAGCAGGATGTGAACTATGGTACAAATGAGAAACTGCGAAGTGGACAGCCCATCAATGCAGAAACACTTTTTGGCATCGAAGGCTCGTTTCGAAAACTAGACATTGATTAGTTTATACGTTTAATTGTAGTACATATTTTTACAAAACATATTTTTAATGTTGTAACAAACAATCAGAACACAAATTAATTAAAAAATAGAAAACGTTACAGTCTAACTATACAAATATTTTTTAGGCAGGCAAAATAAATTCAAAAGTCCGTTAAAGTCGGCTTAAAGCATATCAAACAGGCCGAAAATAAATGTAATACCATCAGGCACAATTAAGACAGTAAACGAAAATCAAATTTTGTCATAAATTGTTTAAGAACCGGACAAGATTAACCTACAGTTTAGCTGCCTGCTTGGACTTTTGGTAAACGAACTCGTAGGCGACATCGTTATAAGGCTTGGATGCGTTGCGCACGCGCTCTAACCATTTGGCCACCTTGGGGAACTGACGTTCGTTCACATTGAACTGGCAGAGTCCTGGTAAATAAATCTCATTAACAAATAGATACCAAAAGACACAGTATTTGGACTGCTTACTCAGCTGTTCTATCTCCGAGGCGCAAGACAAATCTGCCACTGTTAGCTTATTGCCGACCAAGTAGTCATCCGTCATCCAAAAGCGCTCGAGAAGATCCAAACAGGTTTCAACATCTTTTACAAGTTTTGCGACCACCTCCGGCTTGGGCTTGGGTGCGAGTCCATTAATGGGCAATAGCCAACCCTTTACGAAGTATGTGCCACAGGGCACATGCACATTTCGAAACTGCCACATCAAATACTCATCCACACGAGCACGCGTTTGCAGATCTTTTGGATAAAGCTGCTGGCTCAGCTGATTTTTATCCGAAAGATAACTAAAGAAAAAGAAGCAATTTGTTGAAATTGACCTTTGATCATGCCCCTTATACTCACCGGATCATGGCGACACTCTCAGAAAGGTGAAAGTTGCCATCCACCAGTGCAGGCAACTTCTGGAAACGATTAATCTTCTTGTACTCATCGGTCAATTGCTCACCTGGAAAAAGACAAAAGTAAATACAAATTCAAATTTAATGTGCCGGCTGCAGCTCTTGCTTCAATTAAACTTACGTTTGCGCAGTGCTACGGGACAAGCTTCAAACTGCGTTTTACTTAATTTAAGCGCTAACCAAACAGCCCGCGATGGCGGCGACAAAAAATCATAATACAACTTAATTGCCTGTGCCATCTTAGTGGATTAAGCTACAAAAATTCTCTTGGACCGGAAAATCAGCTGTGGGGCAAAGTTCAAATTTCGATGCTACACAGCACAGTTTTTAGCTTTAGCCGTTGCTCAGCACTGTTTTTACGTAGCTATAGAGCTGTCCCGCTCACACTTAGCAGTTAAGAGGCAGTTGGCGCGATCTTTCAAACTCGAGAAAATTTCAAATCCACAACAAAAACAATACGGATCTATCACATAGAATATTTAAAACGACAAGTTTGGCATTACATTTAATCCTTAAGTGAATTTTGTTGCTTAGATTTGTCGCATTTATCACGTACTTTGAACTTCCCGAATTTGTTATCTAAAGCATAGATAATATCGCAACATAATGTCAATGCAAGATACGTCATCTGCTTATCAGCTGCGGTTACTAAATAAGTGATGATAAAACCCAATGAAAATATCAGCTTGGTGAGTGTGTTTTGTTTTTGTTATATTTTTTGACATTTAAACAAATTCGTTTTAATTTATTAACGTACTCAACATGGGTCGCTACAATACACCGTCAATTATATATGTAGTGTGTATATACTAAATATATATATATATATACTTTTTTTATTTAATGTATATGTTTATGTGTAAACTAGTATCAAAAATTAGTAGAAACGACACTTAACTAACTCAAAAATGTTCCAAAATTAAATATATATGTATGTAAATGTTTATGCATCGGTATCTTTGTACGAATGCATATTAAAAATAAAAGCCAACAAAAACTTATTATAATATATATATATATTAGTATATATATATAAGTAGAAGACGTCCATTGCGAGCGAAATGCGGCGAGGAGAACCAAGTAGGAAACTGTAGGTATATGGATGAGGGTATGTGCGTTGATAAGACCGACAATAAATTATAATCGACATTCATGAGGTTTTTGGCCATTTAATGGCGTTTTTAGTTTTTGTTTTTTCTTACATTTTTGTTTTTTTTTTTTAGTGTGCACTTTGTTTTTGTTGTAACATTGTTCAATTTGCTTTTAGTTTCGATGTTGCTTTCTATGAATTGTTATAAAATATCAGGTTCCGGCTATGATCAATGTTCGCTTTAGCGCTGCAGTATATAAATATATATATATATATAGATGTATATATATATAGGGACTCATATATAGACAGAGTGAGGTGTGTATAGTATGTGCATTTGAATATACAACTAACCGCTATGCCCAAGGCCATTGCCACAGGCACAGCCACTAGCCACTATCATCGCCCCAGCCTCAACCTCAACCTCAACCTCAATCAAAGTTCAGCTTGCGAAATATGCCATCCTCGTTGGCGGTTCCGGTGACCAGCGTGGGTCGCTGTTCCTTCTCGCTGGCTAAGCGCAGCTTCTCATCAACACCATAACGTTCATCATCCTTAAAATATGCCGTAAAATTGGTCAGTTGTGACTCATAGTATGTCGTAGCATCATTTAATGATCCATTGTTGCCGCCCAGCTCTACCGGCAGATACTCCTTGCCAATGGCCTTGTAGAGCGACTCCAGATTCGGATGTATGTGCAACTAAAAGAAGAGATAAAAGACGCCGATAAGAGCTTGTTTACAAACATTCTTTGCTGGTTACGTACTAGTTCCTTCTGTTTCATCACATTGCGGATTATGGTGAGGACAAATTGTGTTTCTCGCGATGCATTCACAATGTGCGTGGCCACCAAATTCGTGGGGATGCCATGCTCGAGGAAGGAATTCATGCGTCGGAACAAGCTTGGATCGAACTGCAGCAACAGCGAATAGGGGATTTTGGTGAAATCAATCACCTCCACAACACCAGCTATGTTCCAGTTGTCATCGGTGTTGATCTCAATTTCAGATCGGAAGGCATGGAAGCGAAAGATGTCGGATACACTATGCTTGGAAGTCTCTATGTGTCCCATGCGTGTGAAGTGTATACGTGGACCTCCCGGACCAATGGGATTAGGTAGCGTTGCGAATATACTGATAAAAAGATAATGAAACTTATTCTCTATCTCTCTCGGTGTATCTTCCTTTCTTCTTCACGCTTTCTTTTAACTTCGGCTTACCCAGATCTAGCCAGTTCCAGGAGCTTGTCATCAACAAATCGGCTCTTTAGCAGTCCGCGCTCCTTGGATTTGTAGTTGTAGAAGAAGAGCACGCGTTTCTTGGCCTCTTCCAGATCCCACAGACTGAAGCGCAGAAATGCAACCAAGAACTGATCATCGGTACGTGCCACCAGATAGTTCTGATCATCGATCCATGCGCGCAGAGCGGCAATCAGCTCATCCCGGTTCGCCGCATTCTCGTGCAGCTCCGTGCGCGCCACTTCTGCTAGCTCTGGCACCAGCTCTCTAATGTTGACCATCGTAGTGTATGATAACTGCAAAAGTTATTATCGAAACTTAAAGCAAACTGACAATGTGTACGTGTGGCCGGGAGGGTGTTGGTGGTGTGACTTCTGTGCTTCGTCTGGGTTGAAACACGACTAATATTTAAGTCGATGCCTGCCTTGTTTTGACCTGCAGCTAACAAGTGTACCCTATGCTAGTACAAGCGATGGGGCCGATATTGTCGCGACCAGTGCACAGTGATCCGAAATTCGATCAACACCTATAAGTGGCTAATGCTTTTTATTTTAAGAATAAACTTATTGTTTTCGTACTATTTTTTTTGTTATTTATTCATTTTTAGGCACTTTAAGCTCGTACGAATCACAGACGAATAAAGTTTCCAGTTATAGCTCCAAATTTCGCATCACAAACATGCAGTTTGGTGCCAGTGTGCAGGCACAGCTCGGCGATAAGATAAGTCTATAGGTAAATATAACTGTAGCCTGTTTCGATTAACCGACAGATATCAACAAATGCGAACTTTGTTATGCGCCTTTTACAGCTGCATTTGTACCCATCCGATTTGTCGTCGATTTCACTTAATTGAGAAAACTTTCTGAATATTTTGATGATTAACTATTAGCAAGCAAGATCTTTCAGTAATTTCCCTTATCTTATCAACAATTAGAAGAGAGCGCTCAGCCACTCCACGCTAGAGGCGGGCATTATCAGAGAGTGCCGAATGATTAGCCATAAAATGGCAAGATTAGCGCCAACTGATTAATGGCCAGAAGTGGAGAATTGGCCAATTTCAGTAGTCGCACAGTTGCCACGACGCACGGTTGAGATTCGTACAGAAGCAGGTTATGGCCGAGATACGTCCAATCAGCGCCGAGTTGCGCCAAGTAGCCGAAACGGAGCTAAACGAGGTGCCAGCCCGTTTGCCCGATGATCTGCAGGCTCTCAGAGATTGGCTGGCCAAGCAGCCACATCTTAAGGCACGACAGGATGCTCAATTCCTGGTCGCCTTCTTGCGTGGCTGCAAATACAGCATAGAGAAGGCCAAGTCCAAGCTGGACTACTTCTATACGCTGAAGACCATGATGCCGGAGGTGTTTGCCAACCGTGAAATGGACGAGAAAAGCATTGCGATGTGTCGAGCAGGGTAATCAATGCTCTTGAGCTGCTCCTTTTGTGAGAGATTAACTCGTTTCTCGTTCCAGCACATATGTGCGTCTGCCCATGCCCAATGGCTGCGCCGGACCACGCATACATTTGACGGACTACTCGAATTTCGATTCGAATGGGTTTAAGATGATCGATCTCTTTCGATATCAGACAACGCTGATGGAGCGCATGATACGGGAGGATGACAATGCCGTTATTAGTGGCACCATTGAGATAATCGACATGTCCAAGATGAGTCTCAGCTTCGTTGCCCAAATGGACTTCTCGCTCATCAAGAAGATGGGCGTGTTTGCCGACAAGGGAACGCCCATCCGCCTGAAGGGCGTCCATTTGGTCAACTGCCCCAAGGAGGCAGTCGCCGTGCTCAATCTGGGCAGAAGCCTTATGCCCGCCAAGCTACAGAGTCGAGTAAGTATAAAGTCAACATTCAACAAAGTTTCCAATCTTTTTTTATGTTTGCTTTACTCTTTTTCTAATTATCGAAAAAAGTATTTTGAAATGTATTAGAAAACTTTTGGTCGTTCTACCCAATCCCCCAATATGTGCATTAGCTTTGCTTACTTTATTATTTTATTTTGTTGACAGCTCATTATTCGATAATCCATTGTTATCAAGCCCTTATCGCAGTTTGTTCAGCTGCTCGAAGCCACAATTCCCTTGATAAGCTCCATAGATCGCGAATCGGTTTCAAATTATCGTAAATAAATATGGCTTTTGCCGAAGTCTTCGACACGATTTGATGGTGAAACACCCTCAATATAGTTGAAGGGGTTTCCCGAACTTTCAATACGCAGACTTATCAGCTTCAAATTAGTTTTATAAATTGGTTTAACAACGGTCATAAATTAAATGAAGGTCGAAACTAGCAGACGATTCTAGGGGGTTTGAATATTTCGATGGGGACGTTTCTATATAGATTTATTTAAGACTCGAATTTGTTCTCTTTAATACTTTAAATTCAGTCTCCAATCATAGTGCTCAAATAGGCCTTTCCCTTCTTCATTAAGCACCATTCTCACATACTAAGCTAATGCTCACTTGAATTCCTCTCACAGTTCCATGTGCATAGGAATATGGAGGAACTCTCTGAGATAATACCACGTGAATATATGCCGGAGGAGTATGGAGGCAGCAATGGGCGCATTGCCGACATCGTGGCGCAGATGGAGCAGCAGATGCTTGGCTATAGCGATTACCTCAAAGAGGAGAGCAACTATGGCGTTGACGAACAGCTGCGACCGGGAAAGCGCCTGACAGCCGACTCGCTCTTTGGGATTGAGGGCTCCTTCCGCAAACTGGACATCGATTAGATTAGCTCACATTGAACTGAAATTGAAATTTGAGGGAATAACCCAGAAATTGTCGTAACTTTAAATTTAATTAAAAGCCAATGAAACTAAGTGTAAGCAGTGCCTGAAGCTACTTTAGGGTAGAAGGCGATGTCCCGATGTCTCGCAAAGGAAGGTAATTCATGCTAATGCAAATGCTCAAAATCCTTAAGAATGATGTATAAGAAATAGCCAGCACTATTAAGGGATCAGGTAAGAGGAAAACTTGAATCAAGCAAACCAAGCCTTTCTGCTAAAATGCTATGACAATTAAGAAACGAAGAGGTTCATTAATATACAATAGTTTTCTATTATACTAATTACTTGCCTCTATTTGCCAGTGCGAGATAACGCCACAAGCAGGTTTTTGGTGAGAAGCGCAAAGAGAGGCAGTGTCTCATTGACAGCTCGCCAAATTTAATAAGAGCTTTACCAAAGGCAAACAACGCCCACACATTAGTCAGCATAGCGTCAAATTCGGATGCTTTTAGTGTGCGGTATCAGTGACAAGTGTTAATAGCCTTATCTATCAGTTAAGTGAATTAGACAGGATCAATTAAAATGTTCATGTTAACTTGCAAATTACAGCCAGTTGCCACACAGGAGTCGCCCAGCGAAGAACCAAAATGAATGCATATAGCGACAGTAGTTTTCAGGTGAGTTTTGTACCTAGACACAAGGAATTCTCAGACTATTTGCTGTATACTCCTTTCAAACAGTTCGACTTTAGTCAATGGGATTTTCCTGCGGAGCGCATCTGGCGACACAAGCCGATAGAGGAAATCGCATGGAAAGTTTGCTCCTTTTTGCCACTGATTCTATTTGGCCTATACGCCAACTGCATCTTAGTCTATCTGATAGCGACGAACCGTGCGCTGAAATCGCCAACGAATTTGATTATAGCCAATATGGCAGTGGCAGACTTTCTAACCCTGCTGATTTGTCCCATTATGTTCCTGATCAACGACTTCTATCAGAACTTTCAGCTGGGCTGCGTGGGCTGCAAGCTGGAGGGTTTTCTCGTGGTTGTCTTTCTGATCACAGCCGTACTGAATCTATCAGTGGTCAGCTACGATCGCCTCACAGCCATTGTTCTGCCGCAGGAGACGCGCCTAACGCTGCCTGGTGTCAAGATAGTGATAGCCTGCACCTGGCTAGCGGGCCTGCTGCTGGCACTGCCCTTGGCCATCTATCGCGAGTACAGAGTGCGCATTTGGCTCAACTTTACGGAGCGGTACTGCAAGGAGAACACAAATGTCTTGCCCAAGTACTGGTATGTGCTCATCACAGTGCTGGTCTGGCTGCCACTGAGCATCATGCTCATCTGCTACACGGCCATATTTGTTAAGGTAAGAGCCTTAGCAACTAATAGACTATCATATATCCGAGCCACATATACTGAGGATAATCGATACAGTGCTTATTTATATAGTGCTTATGCATATATTTCACATTTCTATCCTAACCTAACCTACTCCCAGCTGGATCGCTATGAGAAGCGCGTTTTGAGTCGCGAAAATCCGCTGACTGTGAACTACAAGCGAAGCGTGGCTAAGACGCTCTTCATAGTGGTCACTGTGTTTGGGGTGCTGCGTTTGCCTTTCACCATTTTTGTGGTGCAGCGCGAAACGTATTACAAGACGGAGGCGAGCGTGGACTGCAGCGTGCAGTACTTTTCCTACTTCGCACAATATCTGATATTTGTCAATGCCGCCGTCAACCCGATCATCTATGGCTTCAACAATGCGAACTTCAGGCGAGCCTATGCGCAAATTGGCTGCGTGAAGCGACGACGGGCAGCCACGGCGGGTCGCGTTCATCGCTGCTGCTATTGTGACTTTGTCAGAAATAGGAAGTGTGCACCGGTAAATGCCGAGCTGAACCTGCAGCGGGACATGTCACAAACAGCTGCTGAGGAAACGAAAAAACTGGACGAAACCAGCGACACTTTTGCCAATGCCGACGAGTCTCTAATGACACACCTTAATAGCGAGGGCTACATTTAAAGTTTGCTAACATTGTTTATTAATTGTATTTATATTTTTTATAAAAATTCCAATAAACAAACTTAACTATGTTTCCTAAACAAAGTCTGACTTGGAACAATTTTCTCTCAGTATATGTCAAGTAAACAGTTTCAAAACAGTGCAAGATTCCTTTTCCGCGATGAATTTGGAAATATATACTATATATATTTGGAGGAAATGTCCACATGGGTATTTATTCAGAAATAATATTTTATAACAAACGAGTAAATGTTTGAAATTGCAAGTCTCTAATTTTGATAGAGCCAAAATGCCTTACGTGCATTTCGTTGAAACTAATATACTCCTTTCAGTTCGTGAATAAGATTAAAACAATAAAATATTTTGTTTCAGTTTAAAAGATGCACATCTGTGTACTGTAAACAATTTTTTGTTTAATTTTCGAAATTCACTTGATATTTTCAAGGCTTAGAGCTGACATTGCTTAAGTTGATTGCCTCTTCGTTTCTGTCTATTCATCACTTTTTGCCATCCATCTCATTTATTTGAATCTTTCTCGCTTCTCCTTCATTTGAATTTGTGCCTATAACTCTCCCTCTCTCTCTCTCTCTCTCTCCCTCACTCCCGCACAGCGAGAGGCTGTTCAATAGTTTTTTGCACTCATTCAATACATTCGAAATCATGCTCAAATCATGATTCAGATCTTCTAAATCCCAATAAGAATAAAAGCGCTTACCCTATCCATCATAGTGCAGCTCTACAACTGACCATTATCTAGTCTGCATTAAGTTCTCACACTCTTCCTCTTTCTGCTTACATTCAGAGCTTCCGCTCATTCAGAGCTTCGTGCGCTCATTGAACGTCAGCTAGAGCTGAGGGAAACGGTTCTAAAAGCTCAAGATCTTCCAGTTGGAAATAAGTTTAGCTCCCTGAAGCACGTGTTAAGTTTCGTCTAATTAAATGTGTCGTTTAGTTTGTATATTAATATTCTTGTGGCTCCTATGGAAGCATGGGCATGCCTTCGAGGTGCTCTTCGGGGAGAGCTATCCTGCCTATCGCATCGGCTCAGACCTGGACACAGAGTCGCAGCGTCTGCACAAACGCGACATGCAACAGTTTTTCGACAAAGGTGTTTTTTTAAACAAAATAAAAACAATTGAATTTTATTTACAGTATTTTAACTTCAATTTTGAGCCACTCGAAAGCGTCAGGCTAAACCAAACAACTCAGATTTCATGTAACCTGTGCCATGATCCTCGAGAAATCTGATGAACTGTGCCATGTTAATAACACCCTCCTCACCATCGGCGGCTGAAGAGTTGAAGAGTTGCTCGGTAAACTGCTCGAAACGTCGCTTGCGACATGGCTCGGTGCGCACCAGGCTAATCTTCTGCCAGCGCAAGGCCTTGATGCTGCGCCAGTATTCCTGTACGTGCTCCGGCTCGCCCTCGACGCAGATGATGCCCGGCTTGCCAGGTCTACTGAATCCACTAAGCTGCAGCTGTCGTGCCTGCCGCACAAGCTCCTGGCGCTTGGCACTCGACTTGATGTGGTGCGAGTATATCCAAAGCCGCTCTAGCTGCGTGGCTCTGGGATGCTCCTCTGATGGCGGGGACTCCAGCTCGCTGGCGGGGCACCTCATCAGATCTTGAATCTGATCTTGCAGCCAGCTGAGCAGCTGAAACACATAGGGCTCCTCTGTCTGGCCATGCTCTATCAAATAGTTTTCAATTTGCACCTTCAAGTGCTGCTCCTTGATCTTGCCCAGCAGCGTGGTGTGCAAACTAATCCTAGCCAGCTCCAACAGCGGATACAAGTGCGGCAACTCTATGCGCACATCCACGCACTGTTTGCCAGTCACATTCAAGCGGATGACGTACTCCAAGTTAGAGCGCAACGCTGTCTGCGACTCCGACTGCAGAAACTCATTGAAATCTGCAACGACTCCAGCATCGAGCAACTGCAGCTCGCCCGCTGCACAGTAAATGGAGCTCAGCAGATCTAACTCCTCCAGCTGCTGGCCAATGCAGCGTCGATAGGCCTGCATATCCATGGCCAATGGCTAACGAAAATTGAGAGAGAGTTGTTTGGTTTAGCTTTTGCCTCAAAGTTGACGAAACTTAACGAAAGGCTAAAGCTAAAGAGAACTGTTTAGATTCCTGCTTTAAAAAAAGCTTAGCTACAGTAGCAAAGCGTGGGGAAACTTTGAGATCGAAAGTCATAATAAGCTTTTGATGCAGTTCGATTCATTAAGCTTTGCTATATATGTCGTATATATCACATAAAGATATAGATATTAACAAGCAACTACATAGATCATATACTTGATACATATATATATGTTTATATGCATACAGTAAATATAGTTTTCCAACTTTACCAAGGCTTTATCAGTCTAGCATAAGCATTATCTTTTTCTTATATGCCATATTCTATATATCTCCACCCTTCCAGTTATCTATGAGTCTTAATGCTTATATCCTTTCCTGTTCCATTAACCCATTTCCTTCTATCCATATTGTTGCAGCCACCTATCTAATCAAATATTCCTTATCAATTTACTGCTTTCTGTCTAACTATTTGTTATCTGTCTATCAAGCTTCCTCCCTCTATGACTCTAGGTTCTGCCAGCTATCTGACCTATGCGTTCATCTATTTATATTTCTCTTCCTCTCCCTCCAGTTATCTATCTGAACTATCTCTCTCTTACTCTCTTTACTCAGCTGCCTATAGCTTCAATGGTCTGGAGCGTGTTGCCTCTGTGCCCGTGCCCTTTCCCCTGGACATATGCATGTTGCAGTTGCCTAGCGTAAAGTATGCCGTGACGTTGCATAAGGATGCGGCAGGTGTGCGCCAGTTCGCTGTCTACGTGTGGCAAGCAGAGCAACAGGACTATGCGCTATGGCTGCAGCAGCCGGCGCCCAAGGCCGTGGCCCTGGACTGCCTGGCGTATGCGGGGCTGGGCTATGTGGCGGTCAGCTATAATCACAGTGAGCCCGTGCTGCAGGCGCGTGATGGCTCACCCATCTATGAACTGTCGCCGGAACGTGTGATTCGCACGGTGCAATACTTTGCCGGACTGCATTTACGTGGCATGTACCTGAGGATTAGCAGTCAGGAGCTGACGCTGCTGCAGGCCTACGATGAGGGCGGGCAGAAGCAGCAACAGAACTGTCCCTACTTCAAGTGGACGAGTGGAACATTCCAGCGCTTGGGAGCCATTCCCTGCAGCAACGCCCGTCGCCTGGAGGCCTTTGGCATTGACTACGCAGACTACGTGGCGGTGGCCAACTACGCCAGTCCAGATGGCCGCACCGCTACCCATTCGGAGATCTACAAGTATGAGGCAACAACGCGTCGCTTTCAGCTGTTCCAGCGCTTGCGCACCAATGGAGCAGTCGATGTGAAGTACTTCAGTCTGCCCGTCAATGAGGTCAGCCGTCGCCACTTTCTTATAGTGGGCAATACGGTGGGCGTCGCAGGCGGGGCAGGAGGCGTCACAGGCAGCGCCGGCGAAGCAGATACGGTCATCTATGTGTATGATAAGGGACAATTTGTGCCCTATCAGCGTTTGAGCTTCTATGGACTGGAACGCTTCTTGCCCGTGACGGTGAGTGAAGTCAATAACGACTGTCAGACTGCCAAGGCCAAGATAGAGTATCGTCTGCAGGGCTTACTCATTGATGTTCAAGATTTCAGTCAGCTAAATCCTTTATTTGCAGCACACGGTCTCAGAGAAGTTTCTGCTGTTCGTGGCCTGCAGCAAGCAGGACGTGAAAATTTACAATCTCAACGATTGGAAATTCGAGGAGTCAACTGTGCAGTTCACCGAAGGAGCCTTCAGTAGAGGCGTGGCACGCCTGCGCAGCTACGAGGAGAACGAACAGAGCTACTTGGGTAAGTTCTCTTAGCCCCATCGAGCACAATTTCTAATCCTGCCAACTTCATTCGGCAGTTATCGCCAATGAGAACATGGCTGCCAACGAGACCAACATATTCCAACCGCTCTACAAACAGGACGAGCATGCGAATGTCCTGCGCCAGCAGATTATTGAATGGGCTCGCGAGCAAACAACAAGAATGGATGCAGCTCATCTGGAGCACTTAGTATTGGACCTAAAGGTGGGAGTTTGGATATTAAATCAGTTGAGTAACTTCAATCAAATCTTAACTCACAGCATAAACTCAGCGAACGCGGAAAGCAGCTGCAGAAAATGCACATTAAGCGCGTGAACACTAAATCGGTAAGTCACACAATATGCATATGAATATATATAGTATATATATATATATATATATGTAGTTAAGTATAGTTGAGTATAGAATAAAAGTGAGTATAGAATTTTATGCTTAACACAAAATGAATCCTGTTCACGATAGCTTTTATAATGATGTATCTGATGCAACAACAAAGATGCATTGATACTGCCACAAGCTATGCTGACAAGACTCTAGGAATATCACAATTGCCATATATCACACTTCTATACATTGTCTCTATCCAAGTTTGTCGATGTGCAGCAGAAGCTAACTACAAACTACTGGGATGCGCTGCGCTATGCGAAACGTGCTTTGGATATTATCGAACTGGATGCAGCTCGGGCTCAGCATCATCCTGTCAAGCGGGATGGAGTGCAGCAGCCCAACGAGCAGCACGAATTCGACGAGTTGACAGTGGGCACGTTGGTGGTGCACGAGACATTGCAGGCGGCGCGGGTCAATGGAGTGGACAGACAGAAGCCTGTCTACGAGTCGGTCAAGGCCGGCAAGGTGTATGTGAGCGAGGAGTACAAGGAAGCGGCCAAGGATCTGCCAGCAGCTGAGCTGCAGCAACTGACCTTGCAGCAGCTGCAGCTGTCAGGCAAGCTGAACGGTCACAACTGGACGCAGCTGCAGGAGCAAACACTCAAGCGGCGCGGACAGGAAGTCCAATTCGTCAAAGCAGCTGCTGACATAAGCAATCTGAGGGCCGAAGCAGTGAGAGTGAACAGCAATGAGATCAACGATCGACCACTCGGTCAGCTGGTGGCCATCGATGGTGGCGACTACGTCGTCCAGCAGGACGTACAATTCGCGCATCCCATCGAGGTGAACCGCCTGACCATCAATCAGCGTCTCAATCACATACACGTGGATCGCCAGCGCTTCGACGTGCTGCTCCATGAGGCGAATCACACCCAGGTGATTGAGGGCACCAAGCGCTTCGAAAATATACGTGTGCTGGAGCCGATTACGATTTCGGTGAGTTATTTGCCATCCATTGTCCCTCAGCAATGCTAGATTCCTTTGACTTCCTCGCAACAGGGTCAATTGCTGGGCGCAGAGCTGAATGCCATGTCGCCCATGAAGGTAACGCATCAGGCGCTCGAGCTGCAGGGCGACTATGTGATCGATGGCGATGTCACAATCGGACGCTTGCTGCAAGTCCAGGACTTGCGTGATGCAGTCGCACAGAGATCAGCAGTTGGCATACTGCAGCAGGCACTACGCGTGGATCAGGCTTTAGAGAATGTGAATCTGCGCTTTGAGCTGCCGCTGAGTGCCAATGATACGCAGCTGAGCTTCATCAATGCACAGGATGTGCAGGAGCTGGTGCAGCTGAACGTGGACCAAGTGCAGGTGATTGAGGCCACCAAATGGCTGCCCCAAAGTCTTACCATACGCGATGGCTTCGGCGAGGTCAACCTGCTCAATGGCATCAATGTGGAGCAGCTGGCAGAGCAGTTGCTACTGAAGAGCAGCAACCAAAGCTTCAAGTACCCAATGCAGCTGGCGGGCCTGGATGCAGCTCAGTTGAATGCCAGCAAGCTGCTGTTGAACGGACTGGAGCTGCATTCGTATATGCAACACAGCGGCGAGCAGCGCTCCAATGGCAGCTTGTATATAGATCAGCTGCAGCTTGAGCAGCTCAGCGTCGCGCAGCTGCACATGCATGGCACCATCTTTGGGCACACTCTCGAGGAGCTCTACAAGCAGGGCTCACAGCGCCCGCACAGCTGGCAGCTGCCGGAGCACTTCAATGGCACGATCGAGGCCCGCAACGTCTGGCTCAAGGGGCACATTAACAATGCCACAGTGGCCGAGGTGGAACAGCAGCTGCAGCAGCTAGCGGGCAATATCAAATACGTGGGCGACTTCACCTTTCGCCATGCGGTCAACGTAAGTGGTCTCACCTTTGGAGACACCTTGAACGGCATCGCGGCTCAACGATTCGGCAACTGCTGGCTAGAGAGCAGCGGCCAGCAGCTGTTCACAGCACCCCAAACACTTGCGTCTGTGGCCAGCGATAGGGACGTGCAGTTGCAGGGTCGCCTCAACAACTACACGCTGGAGCAACTGGTCAAAGGGAGCTACAGGCTGAATGGCACGGAGCGCTTGCCCGCGGCTAAGTTTGGTAAGTGTACAAAGAGTCGTTTAAATGGTCGATTATTCCTGCAGGGGTTTATGCCTGAAATAAGTAAACTAAATTTGAATTTAGCAAGTGTTTTGATTACTACAAATTGGCCTTGATATTTGTGGGAATGATCGTTAGACGAATTAGATTAAACATGAAATAGTTTCGATATGTGCTTGGAATAATCGCATATTGAATCCTGTTTACTCGTTAGATTAATCCATTAGTCACTCTAATTATTTTCTAGTCTAAGACATCTCAATTAATATTTGGAATAGTCCCAAACCACGTCATGTTTTGATTGTTTAAATAATTTGAATTTAGCAATGCTTAAACTAACAGGAACTGAGTGTCCATTACTACTAGGGTAATCGTTAGTCTCAAGCATATTAGAGCACTTTCAGAAACTAAAGTATAGACAATGGGCTAAGTCAACTGCAAATAAAGAAATGTTAATCTAAACACATTAATGACAAAGTAGAGCAAACTAAACTCATTTATGGATATACTGATTTGCTTATAGGAACAGACAGGCTATTTACAATTAGTTTGTGCGCTCTTTTAAAGCAATGTTGCTGTCGGCGTACTAAATTTTACTGACTAATAACAATTAAGCTCATGTGCCTCAAATGCCACCTAAATAAAAGTTGTATTTCTCAAACTAAACTAAAGTTATAAATTTAGCGTTGACTTTTAGAACCCAGTTAACAGCTAAACTGTCAATTAGCTAAACCTAAACTTAAACTTAATTACTTACGTACTAAAATGGACCGCTCTATCAGCCTGACACCAGTAGATACTTTTGTCTTCCTACTACAATGAATATTCCAATAAGCAAATTTAATATAGAAAGTTCAATCCATTTTCTGATAAGATTACAATTCGAAGAAAATGAAATGTGGAAACTCTAAAGCTTTAACCTTTAGCTTACATACTATATTTTGCATATACTATTATTGTTTCGTATTACTAATCGCACGAGTCTAATAAGAAAATCACATTTTCAAAGCTACTCTTACTCATTCTGCCTGAAGCTTAAAGCTTTAGTAGCTATTCAACATGCGAAGCAATTCAATTACTTCTGCAGTTGTTATGGGTCCAATTAGAAAAAAATATATGTCAATCATGAATCCAATATGAAATTGAAATTATTTAACCTTAACTATGTCCAGTGAATCCGATTGTGCTGCAACAGTCGCTGAGCGTGGGTCGACTGAATGGATTGCGCGTGCCAGAGGATATGTTGTATGCGCAAGGAGGCGGGATGCTGCGGGCACCACTCAAGGTCAAAGGTCATGTGGTGATTGTATCCCCGCATCAACAATGTAATATGAGCAGCATGAATGGCTATCAGCTGAATGCACTCAAGCATTATCTCAGAGGTGGGGAAAATGCGGAGCTGGACACGCTGCACGTGGAGCAGGCACAGTTTGAAGTGCCACCAAGCTATGAGAAACTAAATGGACGCAAACTGCAGCAGCTGCTCGATGAGCTTTGGCTAGATAATGAGTTTGTAGAGCTGCAAGCTGCGCAACTGTCCAATGCCACCTTTAATGGACTGCTGGCGTTTGAGGTGAGTTGTTGTATAAAAGTTGTATACATAAACAGTTGTGAAACAATAATTGAATTGTAACAGGGCAAACTAAACGGTTTGGATGTGGAGCATATCGAACGCAACTACTTTAGCCGAACGCGCAGTCAGCGTCTTAATGTGCCGTTTAATTTCGAGCATGACGTCACTTTTGCACAGACGCTGGCTGCCAAACAAGTACAGCTACGTGTCAAAGATGGCGCACTTGTTGAGGGCATTGGGTAAGTGATTTTTAAAGCCTTTAACAGTAATTGGCATCGAGTTTCACTGCATTTGTTTACGCGCTTAAAGCAGTTTGACATGCACTTTACACACATACACTCGTATATATTTCCCTCCCCGTCAACTGTCACACACATACAAGGTAAAATCAGCTGTGCGCGCTACTGTTTGCAGGTGAAATTTCTGTACACGTTGCAATTGTCCACTGAGTACAAGCACGGCAGCTACCTTAAATACAATTAAGATTTTACCTTCTGTTTTTTTGGGGTTAATGTTAAATTAAATGCACTTTCTACGGGCAGGCAGCAGTTTTCAATCTTTCAACACTTCACACCAAGAAAAACAATAAACTGATACTTCCAGGGACGCACCACAAATGATGACACTTGAACAAAAATATCGAAATATCGAACTATCGAAAGCAACGACTTGTACATAACCAGTGTGAACGTATTCTTGAAAATGAACCTTTGTGAATGCGGTTATATTTAAAATATTAAACAAGAATTATATGATTATGAGACTTAAGCATTTATTTTAATAGTTACTTTAAACTTGTATTTTTATAGCAACGTCTCACTAAATTTCGAGGATTTCGTGGCAAATTCATTAAAAACTAATGGTCCACACACCATAACAGCACAATGGCGTTTACCTGCGGCTTTAGTTGTGGGGGACTTAAATAATGTGCGTGTTAATCAATTAAATTTAGTCGATGACGTACTGCGAAATGATAGCCAAGGCGTAACCTTAATATATGCGCCTAAAACAGCTAAAACTGCCACAATTAAACGCCTCTTTGCAACGCCCTCTAGCACAGTAGCAAATGTTCCGATTGCCCAGTGGATCAACAATACGGTTTACATTTATGGCAATCACAGCATTGCGGGCATCACAATCATAGAAACCCTTAATCTCTACAACGACCTGCGAGTGAAGGGTCCTGTGAATGGCTTCCACTGGCAAGCGGATCAATTGCTTCTCTGTGATCAAAAGCAGTATATAGCCGGCTCGCTGCTGGTGAAGAATGCGCTGCCGGAACAGCAGCGCATACTGAGTAGCAACATCGAGGAGCTCTGGGTGGATAGCATCAATGGACTCGGTGTGAATGAACTGTTGGTTAATAAGGCGCACAATCGTCCAAATTTACATGTAGCCAGTCAGTTGATATTCACACAGCCATTGACCGTGGCCAACTATGAGTTGGGGGATGTGTCAGCTGGAAGCAATAAGTGGAAACGGGGAGTAGATGCCCTGGACAACTGGCAGCATCTAAATGAACAAGTGGCTGCAGTGCAGCAGCGTCTCACATGTAAGGCACAGCTATATATAACCAAGTTAGAAGATATCATTTATGAATTCCTCTCAACAGCTCCTTCTTTTGTGCTGGATAGATTTTCTCTGCTGCAACAGTTGCCGCTAAATGTAAGCCGACTAACTCTGATGCAGGAGCCCAGCACCAAGACGGAAGTGCTGGCCATTTGGCATAAGCAACAGGATCTCGAACAATTCGCTGCCTATGCATGGCAGCCGCAGAAGCAGCAATTTATATACAATTCAAGTAAGTGGGCTATATAATGCGTCTTTATTTATCATATATAATTTAATTTATGAAATGGTTTACGAACTTATTAACTAAAGTTTATGAATGAATTTTGAATGGATGGGAGGATGGAAGGGATTATGAATTGGATGCCTGACAATATCTAGATCCATGCAAAGCGAAATGCAGATCATAAAATCATATGTATATATAAATACATATTTATTGATAAAAATGTTGAACTCTGCATAAAATTAGCAATTTACACGAGTTCTTAGTTAAACTATACACTTAAATATTGTTGCCTGTATGAATATGAGGCATCTTAATGTGGTCTATAGATGATATTTTCTGCGTCAGCATAGAGTAATCAGAGTTATATTCTATAGCAAGTAGTTATGCTTACACGTGTCAAAGAGAACGGGCTTAATATATAATTTCAAATGTATAATAGAACTCAATACAAATTAATCAGATTCAGTTTATAAATAAATTAAATACCTAAACATTCGATATTATAAAAATAAGTCGGAATCGTTACAAAATATTAAAAGTTGCCAATATCTAAAATTAAATATCATCTAATTGTTCGACATCACAGAAGCCATGATATAAATTTCTGTGTCCAGTTGTCCGTTCTAAATTATGAAATCCGAATATATTTTATAAATAATATATATATATATATATATATATATATATATATATATATATATATAGTTACTCAGAGACGTGTAAACAAGAGCTCGTGTAAACGCTACTAAATGATATCGTAAATTGAATTTTCTGTTGCAGTAACAGTTTCTAGTTGACGACTTCTAAATGTGGGAGGGGGCTTACTCCTGTGAATCTGTTTTTTTGACTGGTTACTGCTCAAACTCATCGCTTTGCACATCCACAATAGCTCGGAGTATGCCAAGCTCCAGTTTGGCAGCACCACGCTGTGAAATTCGATTCATCACATTTGCCACGTAGAGACCGAGTGCTTCGTGGCGCGTTGAGTTGCACAGATTCTTGAAGAATGTTGGCGGCAGCGAATTGTCAACATTTCCCAAGTTAATAATCTCAGCGGCATTATGGGAGCTGGCATTCACTTTGCCCGAATCAAATATGATTTCATTGAGCTCATCGAGATGTGGCGAATAGCCATTGGTGCTGGCCACCGATGTCGATGCCACAGTAGCCGCTGTCGAAGAGTTGGCTGCACCGCCACCAACAAGATTCCCATTTATCTGCTGCGATGCAGGTATGGTTATAATATTAATGCCTGGGGGTGGTGATTGATTGCTTTCGCGCTCCTTCTTCACCTGTAGCAATTGAGCGGTTGTCGTGTGCCCCACATTGGCTGTTACGTTCGGTGGAGTTATGGGCACCGCAGAAGCTGTAGCTGCTGCAGCTCCTATTCCTGCTCCTCCTGATGTATGGCTGCTTTTGGGGCTAGTCTGAGTCTGAGTCTTTTGTGCCTTCTTTTGCACCGGCGCATTGCTGCATTCGTCAGAAAGCTTGCGCTTCATCGAATCGGGCAGTTGAATTGTGGTGCGTACGGAGGACATTGCTTTATTGCTGTTTAACTGTGGTTGCTGTGTAGATGTGCCGGACGTCGATTTGTGTCCAGCGGCGACGCTACTATGTGTCTTTTTCAAGGTTATGCCCTTCTTTTGAAGTGCGGCTGCTGCCACGGAGACTGCATTGGATTGCGAGTTGAATCGTTGCGGATTGTTGGCCATGGTGTTGAGCAGTTTCTTCTCCTCGAATGCTGGACGCGGCGTATCTACGTTGGATTTGGTATACGGCTTAGCTTCCTTCTCTGGAGTGCCGCCGCCAGTGCTACTTGACTTTGTCGGACTGTCTCCATCCGAGCTGGCTGAACCTGTGGAATTGGTGGTCTGACCAAATTGTCGTGGAGTCGCACTGGCAGAGCCTTCATCATCTTCCTCCTGCTCCTGGACTTCTAACATTTCATATTCCTCTACTTCCTCAATGGGCAGTTGTTCCCTTCGCAATGTTAAACAAATAGTTAATGTATAATTATTAAAATAATTACTTTGCCAACTCACTCCTCCGTTTTTATCACCATCTTCGGCTCCTGATGAATTTTCTGCATTAGTCCATATAATTTCCATCCAGAATTACCTTTAAGTTTCTCCTGTTCATATTTCTTCTGCAGCACTATAAAAATGGAGCGTGACTCGTGCACAGTGAGCTTGTTAAGGCGTCCAATGCGCGCCCAAGCATCATCCTGCTCCTGTTTGGTGGCACTTGTATTATTTGGATGTAGTGCCTTTTCCTTGGCAATATCGGCCAGAATTTTGTCCAGCTGTATAGCCATTTTAGTCAGCGACTTTCGGCCTGTGTTTTGCGCGTTTTTGATAATTTTGACGGCGTTTTTATTACCACTTTTTCACCAAATGTTTGGCTCTGCCGCTCTTTTCTAGAGTTTGCGCTCTTTTTGCTTCGTTTTGCAACTTCGCTTTTTCACGTATGCGGCGCGGCGTCTGCTGTGACGCTGATTTGGCGGAAAAATAATCGAAGGTGTCTAGCCACGAACAGACACCGACAACAAGATGGCTAACTAAGAGTTACATCAACCACACCTAAATAAACACAGCGTTTTGAATAACTTATCAATATTTCTGTTTTATTGCAAGTTTTTCTTTTTATTATATATAACTTTAATTGAATTACTGCTCAGTCAATATATTTAAAATAACTTGTGATTGGCAGACATCATACCAACTGAACGTGTGTGTGTAACAAAACATGTTCAAAAGCAAATGCAAAAATAACAAAACGTTGTGCAACACTTGTAAACTAACAAAACATTTCAAATGAAACCAACAATTGTTTTTTATAAACAGAAAATCAGCTTACGATGCTTACTAGCTTGTATTTTCACTTATTTATATAATTCATATTTAACTTAGGCTATGCCTCCAGCGTTGCAGTCTTATTTATTATTTTTAATGTAAGTTTAATATGAAATATAACGTTCGCAGTCCATATTTTGAAGCAAAATATTAACTTTCTAACATAATAAGCAATCTCAGAGCCGTTGTGTGCGAATACAAAAGAAGTTAAGAGAGTGCAAAAAAGTTCTACATAATTTTGCATCATTTCCAAAAAAACAGCTAGAAAATTTTTAATTTTTTATACTTTTATTATATAGATAGGAAGTTAGCTTTACAATGTTTTTTTCAGCGTCAGAATATCAATATCCGTGATAGCTGGCATACACTTGACTGTTTTTACTGCTAATGCTTCAGCTGGGCTGCTGATGACAAAAGGAAACTCGGGCATGCCATAGCATGCGGCTGCGTATTGTCCCAGGCGATTTACCGCAATGACTGCGCCCGCAAAGTCCTTATAATGCTTTATAATTCGATTCACAGCCTCGTCGGCTGCCTCTTTGGGCGTCTTGCCAGATCGCATTGCCTCCACTGCAGTGAATGTGGGCAGAAAACGCATCATAATATCCCCATCTCCTGTTGCTACAGCTGCACCAACTTCATTGTCTGCATAACTGCCAGCGCCGGGAATGGGTGAGTCGCCTACTCGACCGGGAATTTTGTTGCGTGCCCCATTGGTCGAGGTGCCTGTGTGTATTTGGTTATTAGCATCGATGGCCACCATACCGATGGTATCGTGATGCTGGTTTCCAATTTTGTACTCGGAGCGAGCACGATCCTCTTTCCAGCGACTCAATGGCGTAGCCTTGGGTGCGTAAGGACCACATGAGATCTTCGGATCCGGATTGACCCTCTGCCAGAAATTCGGTTGACAATTCTCGGCCTTCCATTGCTGCCACATGGCTCGCGACTCGGGCGTAACCAGCGAATCAGTGCGAAAACCCATGGCTACGGCGAAGTTCGTAGCTGCTTGTCCCACCAACAGCGAGTGCGTTGTCCGCTCTAGCACATATCTAGCCACACGTATGGCATCCTTGATGCCTATCAAGCCAGCTACAGCCCCCATATCCATGCTCGCTCCATCCATGACCATGGCGTCCAGTGTTGTTTCGCCCAACTCATCCGGGGACCCACCATAGCCCACTGTTCCGTCACACTGCATCTGTTCGCACTTGGTGCAGCCTTCGACGACAGCATTCCGCGTCTGTCGCAACCCTCCCTCCGACTGCCTGAGTATGCGCCACGCCAATGCATTGGCCTCTGGAAACTTCCATGTATTAATTACCATAGGCAGCAGTTGAATCGGTCCATTTGTATCATTAGATTGCTCTATAGGTGAAGTAGTTGCTATAGTAGCATAAGAAGGCTTTGTGCTAACACCTTGAACTGAAGGCGATGTAATGTTGGTGTTATCCGTGTTGCTGGTGGTGCTGTCTGGCTGGGATATACTTGAATTGTTGGTGGAGTCCGACGTGGACTGCACTAACGTAATCACCGCTGTACAGTAAAGCAGCCAAACACATATTTTCAGCATTTTCTCAATGCGTGCTTACTTATTTTCTAATTAATTATAATTCTTAGCTGGTCGTTAGCGGAATGTGTAGGTCCAGTTGCTCGTTCGTTGCTTTTAAAGAGCAGGAACCGCCCCAGCAAAAAGCTACACCACTGTTTATGTGCCTTATCTACTTTGCTGCGCTTATGCGTTTTAGTTATACGTTGAAAGGGTATATTCGACTAGCAGACAATTTGGCAAGCTAAACTGATCTGAAAAAAATACATTAATTTAAAAGAAATGTTAGAGAGACACTTTTTACTAAACTTATGTTGAATAAAGATAAATTTATTTATTCTTATTTATTTTTTATTAATTATTAATATTGTGCACATATAATTACTTTTTATTTTGTTTTTAATTTCAATCTAATTGCTTTTTAACTTTTTCTAAATTTTGATCTTATTTTGTAGGGTATATTTAAGCCACCCACACAATTTCTCTCATATATTTACGCGTCTGTTCTGTGTTTTGTTTTTACAGGCCTAGAAAAGCTCCACCTACCCTATGAGAAATTTACCAAGCCTGAAGTCGATCACTTTACAGCTGTCAAATGCAACGCCTCGTTCATAAGCCCCTTGCGTCTGCAATCCCTAGACTGTTTAGCAGTACAAAAAGAGCTGTTGTCACTCGACATCTACTGCATGGCCAACGATAGTATCGATAGCACCATCACTAGGCATGCCTCGATATCAACTGGACAGGTAAAACAGTTGATAGATCCAACTGCTGACAAAAATGCATATGTTCTGGCCTTGCTTGTCGCCAACTCTGTGGAGTTCTGGCAATGGACTGTGGATAGCAAGTACAAGTTGCAGCAGCGACTGCTCCTGATGCAGGCTGAGCAAATGGCGCTGGCGGAACATGAGAATCGTAGCTACCTGGCTGTCTTAACTGCAGCCCCAGCGGCCGCCATTTACATATACAGGTAAATGTTATAAATGTAATAACACTAACTAATGCTAATGTACATTTGTGATTAGTAAGGAGAGTATTGATGTGGACTACCAGCTGGCGCAAATCTTTGACTTAGAGGAGGCAGTACTGCCGCGTCAGCTGCTTTTAATGCATCTGCACAAGTCCAAGGATCTGCTGCTGTGCTTAACCAATGCTTCTCCCACTCAAACCCTGCGAATCTATCAGCATCAAGGCGTGGCGGGCTTTCAGCATCTACTAGGCGATAGTACGCTGCCCGCCTCACAGTCTTTGCAAACTTTGGAGTTATCAGAAACACAGCTTTTGGCTTTAGCTAATGGCGAGGGCATCTTTTTGGTTGGACCACTATTCTCTAGGCTCTAGTCTGAAACAAAATTAATTATGCTTAGCATTTATATGTAAAATATAATTACCGTTTACTGTTGTTTATTGTATTACCATGAGAGATGGATTTGTTAACATATTATTAAATAAAATATTTGTTGTATTCTTTTAAATCCATCATGCAGATTGAACGTGCCTGCATACATATAAGATAATGGGATCTCAAAGGGGAAATTTTGGCTTGTGGAATTGTCGATATTTATTCAGCGAATATATAAACTATTTTGGCTGGTAGACGTATAATGTATGCCTGTGCCGGCCTTAAAAGATTGAAAACCTATAATCCGGTGCCGTTGCCAATTTTGTTGTTTAAATTACTGCAGATAGTTGAAGTAAGAAATTCACTTCAACATTCAGTATACTCTTTTTAAGAATGCATGACTATCTTTCTAGTTGACTCAACATTAAAATTAACTCAACTGAACGGTAAAAAATTCGTTTGATTTCTTTTCGCTTATTTTCAAATAAAAAATTCTATTCGATTCATATTTAAAATTCTCTTTCATCTACTGCAACTGCCAACCACCCACTAGATAACGCCAACGTCGTCCTCACAGCTTGCCTCACGGTGTTGGCTCCTCACTGCACACAATTTTAAGACACAAATGTTAAGCTTCGTTATTTCTAAATAAAAATTACTTTTTATTAACGTATTTTTGATAGCGGCGTAAACTGTATTGTGTGGTTTTTGTTGGTGTTTAGCTTAATCGTCGCTGGACTCAACATTCTCCGTTTGCAAGTTCTTGAATGTGGGCACAGGCACATATGTGACCAGTGTATACAATTTGTTGGGAGAATCCTCATCGTCATTGCGGCGACGCGCCAGACGCACACGCACACGGAATGGCGTCGACCTGTAGAGTAAAGAAATAGTATTAATGATCGGTATTGACGGGTGTCTGTGGGAGACTTACCTGATGCCCTTAGACCAGATGTGCTTGTTGAGGCGGGTGTCGATGCGAACATCGTTGGTGCCCATCTCGCGCGTGGCAAACTTGCGGATCTCCTTAATGGCGCGCGGCGCACGCTTCTTGAAGCCAATGTTGTGCACACGCTTAGCCAAGTGAATAGTGCACTCACGGGTGACAACTTCGGTGATCGCCGACTTCTTGCGTTTCTCGCCCTTGGTCTTTGCCATTGCTATTGCTATTCAGTATCCTGTTTAAACAAAAGCAAAGTTAGTTTTTTTTATATTAAACCCGATATAAATTATATCCCAATCAAAACATAATAGCAATTTACAATCGGTCTTAAAATGCACACAACACTTTGTATACCACAATATTTGGGTAGTCACGTAAATCATTTTATGTGTAGTTAGCATTTTCATACATCTTGTTGCATTATTATTGGTGTAAATTGCGATGTTTTATGATTATATTTCGGGTAATATGCAAAAACCCACCTATAGGAAATGAAAGCTTGACGTAAAAGAATTTGACAGCTAGACAGTGCTGACAGCGTCCCAGCACAAATAGTGTTGGTAAACAGCACAAGCAACCCTGGGCACATGACAGCCGATAGAACAGCTGATGTAAATAAACAATGCTGTCAACTGCGTGTAAACATTATTAAATAGGCTTTTTGCTTGTTGTTTGTAAAGTATCAATAATTTTAGTACAACTACTGGCTGTTGGCCTGCTGTGGGGCGTAACGAATCCCTTTATACGATTGGGCAGCAAAGGCATTGAGACTGTTAAGGACACGGGCTCCAGATATAGAAATTTTCTTTCCGAGCTTCGAATGATCGGCTCTCGTTTGCATTATTGGGTACCTTTTGGACTTAATCAGTGCGGAAGTCTCCTATATGTGTGGACATTACGTAGTGCTAATATAACTATAGCTGTGCCGCTGGCGAACTCACTAAGTTTCGCCTTCACAGCTATAACTGGATATCTGCTCGGTGAACAACTGCCTGGCAAAAGTAAAAAAGTTTAATAAAATTATTCTATTTAATTATTGTATTTTCCCATTACAGAAATTATCATTGGAACTTTGCTTATATGTTGCGGCAGCATACTAATGATATATGACAAATTACTTCAAGAACAGCAAATGCAAAGTATTACTTTTGATTAATCCGATTTGGTTGTAATGCAATTCAATATAAAACCAATTATTTAAATAAAACAGTACTAATACAAGATCTATATAAAATTAAAAAATTCCGTCTTGTTAGTGCCATATCTGCAACTCATCATTACTTAAGCACTACTGATAACAGGTAATAGCAACTATTACTACGAAAATATGAAGCAACTATAGTTTAAAACGTTATTTTTAACTAACATTTATTTCCTTAACCCAGGCATAATTATTTTTATTGTATTCACATAATTTTGAGGATATTGCAAACAAATTATAATGCTAATCTATAATGCATTATGCACCGCTTCGATGAGTATCTCCATGCTCGTGATAGGCGTCTGTGGTGTTATACCATGTCCTAAATTTGCAATGTAACGTGATTTGCCAAATTTGTGAACCATATCTGTTGTAAGCGAACGTAATTCATCGGGATCGCGGTACATATCTTGTGGGTCGAGATTGCCTTGTAGTGTTATATTAGGTCCAACCACTGCACGCGCCTCAACCGGGTCCACAGTCCAGTCTAGGCCAATGACATCGTAACCGAGTTCGCTTTGCTCCTTAAGCGAATGGCCAGCGCCTTTGGCAAAAATGGTCTAGAAATTGGACTTAGTTAGCCAAGAGGAACATAGCCATGTATAGCTACTTACTAATGGCACGGGTTGCACCGCCTTTTTGGTTAAGCGATCTACCAGATCGTCGCGTATGCGACGCAGGTAGGGCATAGACCAAACCAGGAAGTCTTCTTTGCTTAGATGTTCAGCAGATGACTCAAAGATTTGCAACATTTGAGCGCCCGCTGCCACTTGCATTTCCAGGTAATCAACTATGACATCTGTGAGCAGATTCAAAAAAAGTTTTGTATCCTCCGGATAGTCTTTCAGCCAAGCTTTTGCCTTAGACATGGTCTTGCTACCGCCACCTTCGATCATATATCCCATCAGAGTCCATGGTGCACCGGTAAAGCCAATCAGAGGCACACGACCATCCAATTTGTGACGCATCATCGTTATGGCATCGCCCACATAGTCCAAACGGGACAGAGCACCGTCTGGAGTCAATCGATTTAGATCTTCGGGGGTACGTATGGGTTGGGGTAACACAGGACCCACACCGGCGTGCATCTCTACCGTCAATCCTAATGCTTGTGGTATAACCAAGATGTCCGAAAAGATTATGGAGGCATCCAGATCGAATCGTCGCAGCGGTTGCATCGTCACCTCGCAAGCGAGCTCTGGAGTACGGCAAACCGTGAAGAAGTCATGTAGCTTACGTACTTCCTGAAATTCGGGCAAATAGCGACCGGCTTGGCGCATTACCCAAACTGGAACACGATCCACAACTTCACCACGTGCGGCACGCAGCAGATTGTCATTTTTTAATGGAGGGAAGGGCTGAAATTGTATTGGCGTGTTACAATTATTTTCAATTGTCATTGACAGCAGAAAAAACATGAATCGAAGTTCAATTGTCTTCATGGTTTAATTGAGGTCGAATGTCTTTTTCTGGTGATGTAACTGTGAATACTATATTTATCACTACCTACCCTAGTGTCTTTCATTCTAAATTCGTATGTTTGTTGAGTTGTACAATTATGTGAGTACGGTTCCTATTCTTATTTAATACAGTCAATTTTGACGAAACCTTTTACAAACTACACAAGTAATTGCACGCGATAAGTGTTTTGTCATCGATATTTTTTTTCTGGCAGCACCTATGTTTTGTTTATGTTTTGAGTCGTTGCCAGATCGTGTTTGTGTGTCGCCGTGATTTGCTCATCGCTAACTAAACTGCATTCGTGTCACAAACTAAAACGCAAAAACTGGCACTCACTTATTTTCCTTATTAGAGGTTATTGGTAAAATATGTTTTTTTTTAGAACCGGTTTTTTATTCACTTAAAATTTTTTTAGATTGTAATTTTTTAAAAACATGGCTGACGAACAACCAAATCTAGTTGCTGGACACCCACCTGCATGTAAGTGCATTTACTGTTCATCTTCCCTCTGTGTGCGTATGGGTATGCGAGGCTTTGAGTGTGTGTGTTGCTTAAGCTTTTAAAGAAATAATGTTTGGGTTTGCTAAACGTTATAGATGGATGCTATAAGTAGTTTATTTCCCGGTTGGAGCCATTAAATTGATCAATTCCTATTCTATTGACCTGAATATCATTGTTCTTATCAAATCTCACTTCTGCAAAGGCGATTGCTGATAAAGCAACCACAAAACATGCTCACATATGCATATATGCATACATGTATGTGTTAGTTTGACTGACTGTCGTTGATCGAAAATTAAAGAAAACGTTTTGTTGACGTCGTAATATATATGTCTTTACAGTGAAGGCTGGTGGAATGCGTATTGTGCAGCATAAGGCACCAGCTTCTGAGCGACCTGCTAAGGATGCTGAGGACTGCACGGGTCTAACGGTAAATATGAAAGTTCCTTTGTATGCTTATGTATCACAAATGGTTTTTTTGTTGCAGCAACCGGTTAATGTGAATTCGGCTTCCGTGAGCGGTGCACCTGTCAAGGGTAACACAGATTTTACGCCTGCTGGAGCACAGGTGGCTCACTCGCACAAGCCGCCAGTGGCGGTGCAGCAGAAGCCCCAGATACACATACAACAACCACGCAAATGAATAAATCAGCTGAACTGAATCGTTGTACTGATTTTAAACTGTATTTAATAGCTTTTGGGAGCGAGTTTAATTTAAATATGCCTTGTATTTTTGCAACACTAACTTTTCATTAATATTAATCATTCCAAATGGAGTTTTGCACATAATTTAAATAAAAGATTTTATGGGTTCTTTTTGTAGATAAAATTGGTGATAAAATAGAGGTTAGAAATGATGCGGTTGGAATTCCCAAGTGCTTTTTGTGACCACTGTTCGTACAAATACGACCATTTCTGATCAGGGGCTGCCTCACTGAGCTTCGGTGGTCCGGGGTGCGGACTTCAAATCCGTAGTCGATTAACGTCGAAGTGGTTCGATTCCACCTGGGGGGCGAAACTTTTAATTGCTTTAGTTTCATTTTTTCTTTGTTTTAAATCCGCGTCCTTTTCTGTAAAATGTAAAATATTTTTCATATTTATGTGACTTTTGCTAAAAATGTACTAAAATATGCCAAATTTGAACCAATTTATTTTAAAGCAGAGAAGCTGCGGCGAGTTCGTTGGTTACTCTAAGGCAAAGCATATGCGGCGAATCCGTTGAGCTGCGCGACCGTCTTTCGAATTGAAATGAGTTTTAGCAGCAGTTTCTTCATAATTTGATTGATCGCCATTATATTAATTGAAGATATTTTTTAAGTTAATATATATTAATATTAAGTTATTATATATTATTAATATATATTATTATATATTATTATCTTTTAATTTATAAGTTTCACATAGTATTTGCTGTCTTAACTATCCAATGCCTCAGGACAGCCACATCAACGTAAACGCCAGGATAATTCGGCAGCGCACAACCGTAGCCCCAGCTCACGATGCCTGCCAGCAATCCTTCGGCCACCATGGGACCGCCTGAGTCCCCAGTGCATGCATCTTTATCAGCAGCGACTGCACAAATCATTTCAACGCCCACAAAATCCCAGCCATAGCCGTATTTAGCTGATGCGCATTCGTCTCGAGCAACGACTTTCAGCTGCACCATCTGTAGGTTGCTGGCAAAGGTAAGGGATCCATTGTGTTCGGTGTAGCCCCAACCAGTGACGGAGACACTGCTGCCAGCCTTGGGACTCGTGCTGGCCAGTGCAAGCGCCTTGACGGACAAGCCGTAGCTGAGCTGCGTGGCCACACGCAGCAGCGCAATGTCGTAATGGAGCAGTTGATCGTCGTATGACTCATGGACTTTATAGCTGCTGATTGGGTAAAGAGTACCACCTGAATGGTATTGATTGGCGCCCACGCGCACCTGTAACAAAGTTACAGACTTGTGCTCCACACAATGAGCCGCTGTGATGATGATATCCTTGCTGTAGATGACGCCGCCGCAAACATGGCGAGCGCTCAGTTGGATGGATACTTGCCAGGGTGCATTGTGTATTGTCAAATTGTTGCCGCCAACAATGCGGCCAAAGTTCGGGTCCTCACTAGCTGGCTTCGAAAGTCCGCAGTAGAAGACGCCGAACAGCAGGAAAAGTACTAGAACGGAGCGATAGACCATGTCGTGTAACGCGCACGGAGAACAAGTGGCAAATAACTGCACCTTGGTCTGCCGTATTATCGAAAGCTGTAAACGTTAATCGCCTCTTAATGGCTTATCAAAAGCGGCCCCTTCGAATTGGTTGTCCGGGCAACCATTGTCAAACAAACTCGTTTCGATTAGCTATCACATTTTGTATTTGTAAATATTTTGACATTTAATCAGCCAGATGTCTGATTCCGTACCCATAACACCAGAGGAGCTGCATCGGCTGGCGGACAGTTGCCTGGAGCAGCTGCGTCAAGAGGAGCTCCACAATTTGCGCAACGATGCCAAGCTGAGGGCGGTCACAAACACCGAGAGCTACGATGAGTTCAAGTGAGTATTCCTTGAAATCATATTTTATGGAGCTAAACTAAAATTCGACTTTCGCAGAGACATTGTTGATGCAGCTCATCTGCGTCCCATCAGTAAACAGGATAAGGCCAATGCCAAAACCAAGAGTCGCCTCTGGAACTCAGCGGCTCGTGAGCAGTCCTAAAATGTTTCTAATAAAGTGTTAAAGCGTTGACTCTTACAGCATTGTTTTATTTCTGCGCTAACCAGAACCCAATGGGTTACTAGCGGCATTCTGGCAGGTATCCATGCCGAAGGCGGCGTGACATATTAGTCTGACTGCCATAGCTGTTAAGTGCTAGTCGACAATGTTTCCACTTATGTACTGCAGCTGAGTAGCTGAGCCTGGGATGGAAGCAGCAGGATACTTACAGGCAGCAGAATTGGCCTGACCTTGGATATTGGTGGATGACAGCAATATCCTTGAGCATTGTATCCCTCGGCTGCAGAAGGCAGTGATCTGGATAAGAATGGATGATGGCGGCAAGCACTGAACGGTGATATAGGAATGTATATAGAACCTATGGCGCAATTGTGATGCGGGGAGATTAACTAGAGCACTATGTGTGCTGGACTCTTATATTAAAAAGCAAAAGCTCATAAATAATTGTTGGACTGCCCTACTAGGAGATATCCTGAACCCTACGTAAAGCTGCTGTTTGAGTCATTGTGACGCATTGTGCATACACACAGACATATATATATATATATATACACTATGTATATATAGACTACACTACTGCGCACTTCATTTGTCGTTCTGGATATACTTAATGAAATATTCAGATCGTAAGAAAGTTACGCAAAGAATTAGTTTTAACTATGTGGAATACAAGGTATTCAGTATTCAAAGTATTCATAATCTGATGAAAACTTAAAATTTACCACGCTTCCCCCTGTCTACGGGATACAAACGGAAAGCTGTACTTATCTTGACAAATATTTCAGAATAAAAGGTTTAATTTATTTGAATATAATATATACTAAAGAGAAGAGAAAGAAGAGGTATAATTGGGATTAAACGCATTTGGTTTAGTTAGAACATAAAAGTTTAATCTGGTGTTCAAGTATTTTTAATTTGTTAATAAAAAACACCAGTATAATTGTAATTTAACATATTTTTCACTTTAACCAGAAATTTTTTTTATAAAATAAGTGAACATAGTAGCGATCATAAGGTTGATCAGTCACATGATTGTTTTGGTCACTTACTAACAAAATTCTTACGGAAATAGTCCGCTAAACTAGGAGATCAATCGGTTCCCACATTTCTACTCAAATCCACAAAGTAAAGATAGAAGAAATTGAAAAAGAACCACATCAGCATTTCTCTAAGGATGCTTCACACTTAAGACATAATTAAGCTTGTGGACTGATTTCAACACTTATGAGAAATTGATTATTCACCAAAAATTGTAGAATATGTTATAAAACAGCATTATCTTCTTCTAGTGCTTCAAGTGTCCGACCCCAATAAAAATTTAAATGGTTTTTCACAGCATTTTTTATTTCAATATGTTCTTAGACCGAGTTGGCAGCGTTGACCACCCAGGAGCGGAGGACAGCGACATCGGCGTAGACACCGGGATAGTTGCTGTAGGCACAGCCAATACCCCAGGAGACAACACCGACGAGAACACCACCAGAAACCAATGGGCCACCAGAGTCACCCTGGCAGGCATCCTTACCGGAGGCAGCGGCGCAGATCATGGTGCTCTTGATCTGGCTACCATAGCTGTAGGCAGAGGAGGCGCACACGGACTGGCTGACAATGTTCACATTGACGTACTGCAGCTGACTGGGGATGGAGCTGGAGCCAGAAGACTGGGTACCCCAGCCAGAGACGGAAGCGGAAGCGCCGTTACCGGGAGCAGAGCTGGCCAGACCGATAGCCTTGATGTTGGAGCTGAAGGACAGGGCAGAGCTAAGACGGATGACAGCGATGTCGTTGACCATGGTGTTGGCGTTGTAACCCTCGTGGTTGCGGAAAGCGGCGACCTGGATGAGAGAGCCACCGGAGTTCCAGTAGGTGGAACCGGCACGCACCTTCAAGCTGGAGGCGGACACGGACTGCAGACAGTGAGCAGCAGTCACGATGATCTTGGAGTTGTAGACCGAACCACCGCAGGAGTGACCGCCATTACGCTGGAGGGAGATTTGCCAGGGGAAGCTGCCGATGGTGGTGGGAGTGCCGCCAACAATGCGTCCATCCAACTGGGGCAGGAGACCCTCAGGGATCGCAGCACCGAAGGCGCAGGCAACAACAGACAACAAAATCACGAACTTGAACATATTGCTCGTACAATATTTTGATTGAAATATGCTGGTGCTTATATAGGCTGGCTGGAGGTGGCTTCTATCTTCTGGTTATCACTTCAGACAAAAATAGGTATATACTATTTTATCAATGAGCTCTAATCCAACGCATCGCGCGTGTATTGAGTGGTATATAGGTGTATATATAGCTTTGAGTGGTGCAGAAAAACATTCGGCTAAGGCATAAGAACCACTCGAAAATGGGACAAAACAATTTTGTGATACGAGTTTCCGGTGCAAACATTTCTTCTTTTAAATATTTACTAAGCATATAACAAGTGGGTTAAGAATTTTCAATTTCTATTGAAATTAGTAATAACTTATGTTTCTCATATTATTTGATAAGCTTTTGTATAGCTCATTTTTATACGGCTATTATATGGTTTCCGATCATATTGATTCAGACCCCGCATAGCAAACTTGCTACATTTCCCTAAGTAATCAGCGGCAAATAACCACAAAGTTCTCGAGTTCATCTATTACTTCTTAGAAGATTTGTTTTAATTAGGAAGGAAGAATCAGACTGATCTTTTCCGTTGAGTGAATTAAAAATGGGAAGCAGCTGAAGTTTTCCGAATCTTATACGTTAGAAGCTTAGTCGGATTAAGATAAGCTTTTTATACCCTGATCCCATTGAAAATAGGAAATCAGGGTAAAATGGTTTTGTGCAAATGTATATAACAGGTAGAAGGAGGCGTAGCAGACCCCATAAAGTATATATATTCTTGATCAGGACGACATGCCGAGTCGATTGAGCCCTGTTCGTCTGTCCGTATGTGTGAACTCGTGGATCTCAGCATCTATAAGAGCTAGGTCCGTGTATAGCACACGCAGGTCAAGTTTGTTTCAAATATTCGATAACTATTCGCATTTAATTGTTATCGAATAAAAACATTATTGAAATGCAGTAAATAAATTATATCTAGAACGTCTTAAGAGCTAGAACCTCCAAATTTTGTATTTAGTTTTATGTATATTTTATGCAATTTTGATTTTTGTTGGATTTTGGATACCGGTTCCAAATTCTCCCAAATTCTTAAAATTTAAGTTTAGTTGGAACTAGGGCCATTATGTGACGGCGTTTGCATCTCAACCAAGCCAATAGGATATGTAGATCATATGCTGAAAATTTCATTAAAATCCATTAAGTAAAAAAGAAGTTATTAAACAAAACGTTTGGCCAATTTGCAAAAGCACATGTCAGCATCGCCACGCGCACGCAGTTTTCCTATGCGTGTGCACACATACATTCAAATGCGTGTATTCTTTTCTATTCGAAGAGTCAAAATTGCGATTGAATACTGCTTGAAATCTCAGTTGCTACTAAACTTCAAATTTGCAGTGGTTGTGTTGGTTGACATGTTTCTTATTGTTTTATTTTTTTTTAAATTATGAGGTGGCCGTGTTGATAGAGCGCAAACAATCCGGGTTCGAATCCTGGTCTCGTAATGACGTTTTTTATTTGTTTTCTTTTTTTTGAATACTCGATACGAACTGCGGAAAATATTATTAAACGCAAATAGGACTGGGATCAGGGTATCTCCTAGTCGGGCACCCCTTTTAGAGCTTTGTTACTTGTTAAGATGCGTTTTGATAAAAATGAAATTAAAAAAAAAATGAAAAAATAAATTGATAAGATAGCTCATCAGAAAATCAGCTGCAAAATGAAAAGCTTCTTGCTTGGAAGCTGTAACAGATACTTTTTATTCTTATTATTTATATATACAAAATTTTATATCAAGTATCGTTACCAAGTATCGATACCGAGTATCGATACCAAGTATACATACCAAGTATCGATGCCAAGTTTCGATACCAAGTATCGATTCCAAGTTTCGATACCAAGTATCGATACCAAGTATCGATACCAAGTATACATACCAAGTATCTATACCAAGTATCGATACCAAGTATCGATACCAAGTATCGATACCAAGTATCGATACCAAGTTTCGATACCAAGTACCAAGTATCGATACCCAGTATAGATACCAAGTATAGACACAGAGTTTCGATACAAGGTATCGATTCCCAGTATCGATTTCAAGTATCGATACCAAGTTTCGATACAAAGTATGGATACAAGGTATCTATGAAAAAATAAATCGATAAGATAGCTCAACAGAAAATCACCTGCAAAATGAAAAGCTTCTTGCTTGGAAGCTGTAACAGATACTTTTTATTCTTATTATTTATATATACAAAATTTTTTAGGAGATTGTATACTCGAAGTCTTTGGCCACAAGTTCGCCTTCCTAATTTGCAACACATCTCGTTGATGTTTTTTAAAATCTGTAATATTTTACATGATAATATTGAGCTTTAATAGCGGCGAATGACAGACAGACAGAAGCCCAGTTATAGGGACATCGCACACAGCTAATGAATCTTTTACACTGCGTCTGAAGTCTTAAAAAATAAAACCCATAAGATTCCTTGAAGATCGTGAATCACGGTAGTAAGAAATTAGAAATTAGAAAATGTGAATCTTTTTTAATCGGATTTATTGAGCAAAGTTCTTAGATCGAGTTGGCAGCGTTGACCACCCAGGAGCGGAGGACAGCGACATCGGCGTAGACACCGGGATAGTTGCTGTAGGCACAGCCAATACCCCAGGAGACAACACCGACGAGAACACCACCAGAAACCAATGGGCCACCAGAGTCACCCTGGCAGGCATCCTTACCGGAGGCAGCGGCGCAGATCATGGTGCTCTTGATCTGGCTACCATAGCTGTAGGCAGAGGAGGCGCACACGGACTGGCTGACAATGTTCACATTGACGTACTGCAGCTGACTGGGGATGGAGCTGGAGCCAGAAGACTGGGTACCCCAGCCAGAGACGGAAGCGGAAGCGCCGTTACCGGGAGCAGAGCTGGCCAGACCGATAGCCTTGATGTTGGAGCTGAAGGACAGGGCAGAGCTAAGACGGATGACAGCGATATCGTTGACCATGGTGTTGGCGTTGTAACCCTCGTGGTTGCGGAAAGCGGCGACCTGGATGAGAGAGCCACCGGAGTTCCAGTAGGTGGAACCGGCACGCACCTTCAAGCTGGAGGCGGACACGGACTGCAGACAGTGAGCAGCAGTCACGATGATCTTGGAGTTGTAGACCGAACCACCGCAGGAGTGACCGCCATTACGCTGGAGGGAGATTTGCCAGGGGAAGCTGCCGATGGTGGTGGGAGTGCCGCCAACAATGCGTCCATCCAACTGGGGCAGGAGACCCTCAGGGATCGCAGCACCGAAGGCGCAGGCAACAACAGACAACAAAATCACGAACTTGAACATATTGCTCGTACAATGGGTTAGTGGCAAAATGCTGGCGCTTTTATACGAATCCGAGCGGCTTGCTATCTCTACGGCTTTCGACTTATCTAAACTTATTGATTAATTTTACGGGAACACAACAAAGAAAATAAATAGAAACAATCTCGATTTTAGCTATTAAGTGGCGAATGTCAAGATTTGGCTGGTCAGACATCTGCTAGTGATACGTATCTTGGGCTGTCATTTTACATGAACGCAGTTACGAACGATTTTTGCTATATAAACGCTTAATCCGTGTTCGATTAAAGTATATTGTTTCAACATGTTGAAATTCGTAGTAGTTCTTGCCTTTGCCGCTTGCGCCTTGGCCGGCACCGTGCCGGAGGGTCTGCTGCCCCAGTTGGATGGCCGCATTGTTGGTGGCTATGAGACCAGCATTGAGGATCATCCCTACCAGGTGTCGCTGCAGCGCAATGGTGCTCATTTCTGCGGTGGCTCCATCTATTCGCACGACATTGTGGTCACTGCTGCTCACTGCCTGCAGTCGATTTCAGCCGATCAGCTGAAGGTGCGTGTGGGCACCACCTATTGGCGCTCTGGTGGCAGCGTACACTCCGTGCGTGGTTTCAGAAACCATGAAGGCTACAACTCCAAGACCATGATCAACGATGTGGCCGTCATTCGCTTGTCCTCGTCCATCAGCTATCGCTCGAGCGTTCGTGCTATTAGCCTGGCCGACAACAATCCCCGTAATGGCGCCGAGGCTATTGTCTCTGGCTGGGGCACTACCTCGTCCGGTGGCTCCATTCCCGACCATCTATTGGCCGTGAAGCTAAGGATTGTTGATCGCGAGGAGTGCGCCTCCAAGGAGTTCAGCTATGGCAGCAAGATCAAGGACACCATGATCTGCGCCTACGCCGAGCACAAGGATGCCTGCCAGGGTGATTCCGGTGGCCCATTGGTCTCTGGCGATCGTCTGGTTGGTGTTGTGTCTTGGGGCTATGGCTGCGCTGATGTCAAGTACCCCGGAGTCTATGCTGATGTCGCTTACTTCCACAGCTGGATCGAGAAGACCGCCGACGAGCTGTAAGCTCACCTAAGCTTGAACTCTTCAGAATTCAACAATAAATTACGCTACATTCCAAGAATATGTCTTTCAATTATCATTCCCAAGCACTTGTAATACCCCACTTACAACTGATAACGTCTCGCCTGCGATCGTATAAAAGCACAGAGAGACGAGTTGCAATCCAAGCATTTTCGAGTTGCATTTGACATGTTCAAGTTTGTGGTTTTGTTGTCGGTTGTGGCCTGCGCCTTCGGTGCTGCATTGCCCGAGGGTCTCCTGCCTCAGTTGGATGGTCGCATCGTTGGTGGTTCGGCTACCTCCATCGGTAGTTTCCCTTGGCAGATCTCGCTCCAGCGCAATGGCGGTCACTCTTGCGGTGGTTCGGTCTACTCAGCCAAGATCATCGTGACTGCTGCTCACTGTCTGCAGTCTGTGTCCGCCTCCAGCTTGAAGGTGCGTGCCGGTTCCACCTACTGGAACTCTGGTGGCTCTCTCATCCAGGTCGCCGCTTTCCGCAACCACGAGGGTTACAACGCCAACACCATGGTCAACGACATCGCTGTCATCCGTCTTAGCTCTGCCCTGTCCTTCAGCTCCAACATCAAGGCTATTGGTCTGGCTACTTATAACCCCGCCAATGGTGCTGCTGCTACCGTCTCTGGCTGGGGTACCCAGTCTTCTGGCTCCAGCTCCATCCCCAGTCAGCTGCAGTATGTGAACCTGAACATTGTCAGTCAGTCCAGATGTGCCTCCTCCAGCTATGGTTATGGTAGCCAGATTAAGAGCACCATGATCTGTGCCTCTGCCTCCGGCAAGGATTCCTGCCAGGGAGACTCTGGTGGCCCATTGGTCTCTGGTGGTGTTCTCGTCGGTGTTGTCTCCTGGGGCTATGGCTGTGCCTACAGTAACTATCCCGGAGTCTACGCCGATGTTTCTGTCCTCCGCTCCTGGGTGGTCAGCGCTGCCAACTCGATCTAAAGAGATCGTTCATTCATATGATATTATATAATACTATTGATTATAATATCTGCAATAAAATTCTGAGTAAAACATGATGGGGTTTTTTACTTTTGTTCCGGGCTTCTTTTTGGGACAATGACGTACAATCCTTATCGCAGAAGACCATCATTTGAAGTACACTATTTATTAATGATTTTTTATCTGAAGTGGGTTAGGGTTCGTCGCAATTTTTTCCCTAGTCATATTATTTTAGCTCTAAGCACTTCTACTGGAAGCCGAGATAGAGAAACGGTTTGCAAAGTGTGTAGCCGAAAACTCTTCAGTTGATGTTCATCATTACGAGCTCCATTATCTAATCTGTTGGAAGAGCGACACACGCCTGGAACTTTGCCAAATGGTATCATTAAAACAACTCGCAGACGCGCGTGACCACTCTCGTAATGCTCGATCACGGCCAAAAGACATTTCATTCAAAGGCAATATTTACGTGCTATATAATTTATAACTGTATCTGATGTGTAGGCCAAAAGTGATCTACAATTTATCAGAAACATAACTAACTGAAGAAGATCCAAGCTCATCATGATTGGCTCGAACACTTCCAGTTTCGAGACAGACAGACGCAAAGCAGGACGTACATTGCACAAAACCAAGATACTCACTTCATTTTGTGAACGAGTATAATAAGTTTAAAGGAAAGCAATCTGAGACAGCTGATATTGCGGCTGAGTTGGACATGTAGTGCCACGTCCTCTCATCAAGATTAATTGACCGCAGCTCAAGTGTCTGATATGATTAGCTTGGTGTAAAGGTGGAATCTTCAACATAATAAAGTTGAGGTAAGAAGCAGCTTCCTGTTTAGGGGAATTCATGTAAAAACCTTCTTGCTGGGCAAATTAGATAAAGGTAACTTCCTCCATAGCAGATGGTAGGACATCTGCTGAGCTGAGTAGTCCCTGAGAGGGCAGCAGCTGACTTAATTTTAAGCTTTATTTTACAGTAATTGTCAAAGGTTAAGAATTAGATCTGTTTACTATTTGTTCAAAGAATTCCTCTATTATCGACTGATAAGCCTATTTATAAAATATAATTATTTATATTTGATAAGTTTTTTTAATTAATATTCATGGAATTGTCAGTATATAGGATGCCACAACAGATAAAGCTACGTGATGCGTAGCAAATATAAAAGTATATAAAATGCTGCAAAAAATATACACAATAAGTAAAGTTATACTTAAGAAACGCATTACTAAACAACAAATTGGGGCTAAATGGGTGTGTAACCCCGATGTTTCAACAAATTAGTACTCGATAGACCTTCATAGATAATGCTAAATATGCCAATAAAGCCATAAAAAGTTTATTGGCTTGTGACTTGTCACTGCAGAGATTTGACAAATAGCAAATAAGACGGGAGTGCCCGACTAAGAGATACCTAAACATACTTGATTTGCGCGTTCAATTAGGGGATCACTATGTAAAACGTCAGCTCGTCGCGCATATATATAAGGGTTAGCTGACGGATAAGTCCGGATCGAATGCGCTTTTGATACTGAGAGAGAATATGTATATATAGATTTGATTTTCTGTCTGTTACATTCATATTCATAAAATCACTTTACCTTAACAAAATATTTTCAATGGGCTAAGGGTAAAAATCACGAATGTTACGAATTTTGAATGGTGTCTATGACAGATAACCAGTCCGACCAAGGAAAAGATAACCATGGTCAGAATTGGGTACGATTGCCAATAACAATTGATATTTGGGTTGCGCTTCTTCACAATCAAATATTTGTCCAGTGCAGGCAGCTATATAATAATTTGAGCTGATTGACTGAGAGATACCTAGCAGCGAGTTAAATAAAAATTGAAAATGTTTCTTCATTCATATATGATCTATATATCTATAGTCATGTTTTATAATCTTGTTGTTCTTTTAGGATTTCAGGAAAAGGATATTCGTATAATTAAATGCAGATTTGGCTTAAGGTCGCTTGATATATTTATTCTTTTTTTCTCTTTCTTCTCTAATTTGTTGTATACATTTTCCTTTATCTACATTCGCTGAGCTTCTACCTCTTCACTATTTGTTCAGCTCATGCCTCCTTTAGTCAGTTCTAGTAGGGTACTAAAATGCACAGATTTTTTGATAATGTCAAAAAGTTAAGCACTTGCTTTACGAAATCAAGCTAAAGTCTGTCAGTCAATCAAAAAGATCCGGAAATGCTCCAATATAAATATAAGACCTTGGGTCTATTAATTTTTAGTTTTTGAACAGCATGCAGCGTATTGTTGTACTCTTGGTCTGCTTGTTGGTTGGCACCACTGTGGCAGGCACGGTTAACGTGGCTCCCGATCGCTTCGGGCGGCAGGGTCGTATTGTGGGCGGCGAGGATACAACAATTGAGGCACATCCATATCAGGTTTCACTGCAAAAGAAAAGCGGCTCTCACTTCTGTGGGGGCAGCATAATTGGACCCAACTTGGTGGTTACAGCGGCACACTGCCTGCAGGGCATTAAGGTATCTAGCATTCGAGTGCGCTTGGGCTCAACGCTCTACAACGAAGGCGGCGTACTGGTTGCCGTCGAGAGTCTGGTATACAACAAGCTGTATAACAGCCAGACCATGGAAAACGACGTGGGTCTGCTTAAGCTGGCGGAGAGTGTGCCCGAATCGGAGAGTATTCGATATATAGAACTGGCTGAGGTAACTCCGCCAACTGGCACTCCGGCCGTGGTTACGGGCTGGGGATCCAAGTGCTACTTCTGGTGCATGTCGCTACCAAAGACACTCCAAGCGGTCGTCGTATACATTGTGGATTGGAAGGAGTGCGGCTCCGATGCGTACAAATATGGAGACATTATTCGGGACACCATGGTTTGCGGCTATGAGAAGGATAAGGATGCCTGTCAAGGTGATTCCGGTGGCCCATTGGTGGCCAACAATCAGCTGGTGGGCATTGTGTCGTGGGGCTACGGCTGCGCCTCCAAGCTATTGCCCGGCGTCTACGCCGATGTGGCTGCCTTGCGCAGCTGGATCCTGGAGACAGCCAAGACTTTGTAGACTCAACTTTATAGTATAATATATGACATTGATAATGAAAAGTTGATAAAAGTTGAATTGAAGACAACCACCTTTATGGCAAGTTTTCTGCAGAATGTTAGTTACTTATTTGGAGCTTTTCTTTTTTTATAGTACTAAGCCTTAAAAGCTTTTATAATTAACTTTTTGATAACTCAGTTGGAGTGGCATATACGCTGTCATTATATGCCATTTTTGAGTAAGACTAGCTACGTGCGTGTGCCGGCTTTGCTCTTATACTCTCATTAAGAAAAGTATGCTATAGTTAAATTGATTTCAAAATCGATATTTCCGAGTTTCCTTAAAGCAATTGGCGCACCAAATGATTTATTGATTTATTAGCAGCGATCTTTCTTCAGCTCTTAAATTGAAAACCTTGGGTTTTCCAACTTTTCACGTCACTTTTAATGCGTCATTTATAGGAGAGATAATAAATTTTATATACAGATTTCAGTGTAATCTATTATCTATATGCCAATTCCGAGATTTCTAAATTTATTATAGTTATATATAGTCTACAGTTCTAGTTGAATGAATATTTAAAATTTTTTTGTTTGCATTATCAGCATCCTTATTTACAAACGTCTTTTAAAGATGCTTAAGCAAAAGATTTCAAAGTCAAGATCTCCAGTATATAAAACGATAAAGTTATTAAGTAACAGAACTGCAATCAATTTTGATTATATATTCTCAAAAGTTGCACAGCTACACAGATATAGACTTTCACAAATGTCAATAGGCTTTCTCCTTGAATGTATTCGTCTGCTTAGATATACAGTTTTAGAGTGAACGATTGATAACTGCAAACATAGCCATGACTAAGATTACACTAATACCTGCTACTATGAACTTTCGCTGTGTATTATCGTGCGCCTTATCACACACTATATTGGACAATTTATTGATCGTTGATAGTGACTAACCAGGTCCGGCCAAGTGGCGCTGTTAGTCTTAAACCAAACATTGAAATGAACAACGCTTTGCTCGTAATCGCTGTGCTGTCGGCAATCTGCGGCATTTGTCATTGCCTCGACCATCCTCAGGGACGTATTGTCGGTGGCGAAGTCGTCTCAGCGCACTTTCTGCCTTACCAGGTGTCGTTGCGCAGACGGAATAGCATTAATAGCGCCTATGCACATAGCTGTGGCGGAGCCATACTGGATGAACGCACTATCGTTACAGCGGCTCACTGTGTCTACAATCGATTGGAGCACAACTTTATTGTTGTGGCTGGTTCGGAGGTGCGCACTGGCATGGATGGTGGCATTGTGTCGCGTGTCGAGAAGTTGGTGCCACATGAGCTATACAATGCTTCCATCACAGACAACGATATTGCCTTGATCTTCATATCGACGCCTCTTCCTCTGGGTTACCGCAAGATAGCCACCATTGAACTGGCCGATGAGCAGCCCGCTGTGGGCACACTGGGCACCGTTTCCGGCTGGGGCCTAACCAGAGAGAATGGGTTCAGCTCCGCACAGCTACAGCAGGTGCAGGTGCCACTAGTGGACAGCACCGTCTGTCAAACTGCCTACAACTGGCGACCCATAACCGAGAGCATGCTTTGTGCTGCAGCGCCCGGCGGCGGCAAGGATGCCTGTGATGGGGACTCGGGCGGACCTCTAGTCGTGGATAACAAGCTCGTCGGCATTGTGTCGTGGGGCGAGGGCTGTGCCCGTGCCGACTATCCGGGCGTTTATGCGTCGGTCCCTCATTTCCGTGCATGGATCGCGGAGCAGAGGGCGAAATATGTTTCATTGCTCACTGATTAGTCGGTGGCTCCATAAAAGAAGCCTTCGGCCTTATCGCACTATTGTATGAACAGTTTTAAATGCATCCAGTAAACTTTTATTATTGGCATTTAATCTTCGATGACCAACGATCGATAAGTTGCTTTACAATCCGTCGTTTTTGGGTTCTGTGGGTTTTTTTGATATTTCAGTCTTGTAGCTATTGTTTAACATGGCACACGCGGTACTTTTGCTACTTGGCCTTTGCCTTGGCCTTGCGCTCTTGGCCAGAGCACATCCTCTGCAGGACATCGCCTTGAGCTCGCACAATGAACGCATTGTGGGCGGCTATGAGACACACATTGCCGTCTTCCCGCATCAAATCTCGTTGCGACGCAAAGGAATTACGACGCCCAAGAATGCTTTTTCACATATCTGCGGTGGCTCCATCATTAACAAGGACACCGTTATAACGGCGGCGCACTGCATTATTGCAACGGTGCCCTCTCAATACAAGGTGGTGGCAGGCACCAGTCGTCGCAATGGCAACGATGGCATCATTGTCTCCGTCAGCGAGATCGTTATGCACGAGAAGTACAATCCCAACACCTATGACAATGATGTTGCGCTCCTCAGGCTGAGTTCGCCGCTGCCCCTGAACAACTTTAACATTAAGGCCATTGAGCTGACCAGCGAGGATGCCGCTGATGGAGATATGAGTACTATCACCGGCTGGGGCACCACCCAAGCCGGTGGCACTGTCTCCGACCAGCTGCGTGCTGTCGATGTGCCCATTGTTAGCAATGAAATCTGCGATGAGGCCTATGGGGGCGATCGCATCACGGCGGGCATGCTGTGCGCAGGTGTGCTCGGCGAGGGCGGCAAGGATGCCTGCCAGGGTGACTCTGGCGGTCCGCTCATCATTAATAATAAGCTGCATGGCATCGTCTCGTGGGGCGCTTCCTGCGCTCTACCCACGCATCCGGGTGTTTACGCCAAGGTCTTCTACTATCTTGACTGGATTAAGTCCAAGGTGCAGTTGGCCTAAAATTTGTCAGCTGTGTTTAAAGGCCTCTACGAAGACTTCATTGTGTCACATGTCTGAATAAATATGTAATTGGCGACCAAAAGTATTGAATTATGATTTTTCTGCCTTATCAGTTTAGATTGGGGCATTATTAATCCAATCTCGGTAGTTTCAGGTGTAAGACTTCGATAGCTGCTATCTAGATTGTGTGGACTGCCTTATTAAGTTAGCAGACCGTGGAAAAACCAAACTGCTCATGCACTAAGTATGCTGGCCTTTTAATGGAACACCAACAGCATCAGCCTCTAAGTATGCAATCTAAATATGTATACCTTCCTATATTAGAGTTATTAAACTTTTCTTTTTCTTTTTTATTATTAAGTTTAGAACCTGTACAATCAAATTTAGTACCTTAACAACACATGTATATATATGGAATTACAGCCAAACCACAGTCACATTATGAGGAATTAAAAGTCGATATTTTACTGCATTCCCATCGTTTTGGCATAGCCTTGCCGTTTAAGTCGTCTTAGGTGCGTGGCAGGGATTAGACCTCTTGCAAGTAGGCTTCGGTGTCGTTGCAATCTATCCGTGTATCTGCTTGTATGTCTTCCAATCTGCTCTTCAACAATAAACAGCTTGAGGAGCCGCGTATATACCAGGGAGAGTTGGTTATCTGTCGTAGTACTCAGTTCTGCAGTTATTAAATTGACACAATAAAAAGAATATAGAATACAATATATTTAATATAAAAATTAAATAAAATTCGGAATAAAGCGTATGTTGGGAACTACCCGAAATCGATCAGAATAAGTTGAATTATATAAAGTATTAAATATTCGATAATTGTAAAATGCAAGACTCAGGGAATTTACTGTAATTAGGAATATGTTTAAAATAATTTTAAATAGAGGGTTTGGTACTAAATTATTCAGATAAGGATAAATTTATATTTAATTACTACAAATAGTTTTTAGTCATTCGGGTAATTCAAATATTTAAAAAATGTATGAATTTGTTTTCTAAAAAGAGAATTTGTACTGATGAACAGCAAAAAGCTTCTTCAATTTCTTGAAGTTCTTAAAGGTCTCTGCTTACGGAGCAGAAGTATGTGAAAAGTCTGTCAAAGCTGGAGCCTACGATTGCTGAAAGTCGAACAGGTAACCGGTTAACCGATTAACCAGATAACCGATTTGCCAAACTTATCGTTGAGCGTATAAAGCATATCGTGTCACATACCCCCATTCACCTCGAATTACCATTTGTTATCAAATCGGACCCTGTACACGAGCCTATCAGAAATAGCTCTAATAAAGCTAATCTGCCTGCAAATTCTTAAACACATATTTTATAATCAGTTCGATATGTGCTGATCGCTTGAAAAGATGTCAAAAACTATAACGAGCAAAAATATTTTGTGGCTTAGCTTGTTGCTGCTTTTCACCCTGACAGGCTCTGCTTTGGGCTCAGAGCTGTCACCCCAGGGACGCATCATCAATGGGTCCGAGGTGGACATAGCACGTCACCCATATATTGTTTCGATACGTTATCGTCGCAGTACTGGATCCGCTTACCACCACGAATGTGCGGGTGTCATCTACTCGGATAGAGCAATCGTGACAGCGGCTCAATGTTTGGAGAATATGCTCGTGGGCACAAGGATCTTGGTTGTTGCTGGTGGCAACACGAGAAATGGCAGCGATGGATTGGTTTATCCCGTTGCCAAGTGGGTCTATCATCCAGAGTTTAGGACCCTTACGGGAGACTACGACATTGGGCTGATCGTGCTGGAAACACCGCTCGATTTCAACAACTATCGTATCCGAAAGATCGCATTGCGTGCCGAGCGACCTGCAACTGGGCGAACTGGCATTGTCACTGGCTGGGGCTATCGCGAGGAATGGGGTCCCTCAAGCTATAATTTGGAACAGGTGCAGGTGCCCATCGTCAGCTCAGAGCAATGTAATGATATCTATGGAAAGGGTGATGTGACCGAACGTATGATCTGCGCTGGCGATGTGGCCCAAGGTGGACGTGATGCCTGCCAAGGCGACACGGGCGGCCCACTTATTGTAGACGAGCAACTAGTGGGCCTCGTGTCATGGGGTCGCGGCTGTGGGCGTCCTGGCTATCCCACAGTTTACACCTATGTACCTAGCCTGAAGACCTGGATCGATGAAATGATTGAGCTCGCCGGTGTGTTATAAACAAAGCTGTTAAGCCCGATACTTATGTGACTTTCCATTACCAGTTTACTGCTTAGCTAATAATAAAACAAACCGTTTAGTACATAGTAAACTTATTATAGACGCGCTCAGCTCAAGATAGCACAATTTCCCTTGCGAAGGTTGTTTAAATTGTTTTAACACTTTGGAAACGGGCCAATTCGAGTTACTTATCTACTCCTGATATAAATCAACACCCCGAGATAAAGAGGTTGATTTAGTTAAGTTTCGATATCGTGAAAAATAAATATTCCTTAGCTTTTCTTACATTTGACAAGCTGTTTGATATTAAGATACTCATTTGTTTCAATAATAATCAGGCAATATCAGTAAATAATATACGTATATTTACACTACACTAATCTTACGCGCCGTACATGGGACATCCAAAACAAAGTTTTTCAATTTTGTCTTTGCTTGGGCTCCTAATTTTAAGGCTCGATCAACAAAGCTATCGGACCTCACAAGCCCAACGTTCAACCGAGATGGTTGATCCTCAATTGAAGTCTCACTATGCACAATTTAGCCCGCTCCACTCTCCACTCTCACAAATCTTTATATATACAAATGCGTATATGTTGTGCGAAAAATTTAAGATTTGTTTACAAGGTCCCATTCCTTTATGATAGAAGAGTATTGCAAAATCGTTGAGAAGTATGTTGAGTTTACCATTTATGTGCCTGTGAGCGATTAATTGGCTTCTAAAAGCTAGCTGCTATGAAAGGCGCGCGACTTATCGAGCAAAGAGTTCGACTATCGATAAGCTGCAACGGATTTTTTAACACACTAAGCGCCTACACTACATGATATAAATTTTCTTAGAGTATCTGTTATCAACTTATTTACAAAGAAAACCCACAGGCGCAGATTAAGCGAATTTATTGTGCTTACTATCTTTCAGATTATGTCAGAGTTTACTGTTTATAGGAAATCAATGCTGCCCACATTGGCCTTGGACGCACGAGTTTCGATTATCCATTGCCTCAAAACAGGTACGGCAGCATATACACCTGGATATTTTTCGCGTGCACAGCCCGTGCCCCAGGAGACAATGCCTACTAGCTCATTGTTGTAGATCAGCGGACCGCCAGAGTCGCCTTGACAGGCATCCTTGCCGCCGCCATCGACACCAGCACAGAGCATACGACTGGTCAGGGCAATGGAATATGCGCTCTTGCACTTTACATTGTCCACCACATTCACTTCCACCTGTTGTAGAATATTAGAAATGACGCCTCCTTCGCTAGTTGTGCCCCAGCCTGTTACGGTGACAGGTGTACCATCCTCTGGACGCTCACTGGCCAATCCGATTGGCTGTACTGCTTCATTGTACTCGAATTCACCATCCAGAACCAAAATGGCAGCATCGTAGTCCTGGTATAAGGACTTGTACTTCTCGTGAATGATGATCTCCCTTACCGGCAATTCCTGACCAGTTGGCCAGATGGTTTGAGTAGTGCCAGCAATAATCGTCAAATTAGCCACACCCGTTAATGTATTCACACAGTGAGCGGCAGAGACAATAATATTAGGTGCAATAATGGAGCCGCCGCATCGGTGATTTCCCCTGAAGCGCATGGAGATCTGATGCGGAAAACTGGTTATGTCCGCATCGCGACCCCCCACAATACGACCATCGGGCATAGGCACACCGCTCTGGGAAACGGTGCCTGCCAGAGATATTCCCACAATACAGAAACCGATCAAGATCCGAAACATCTTTTGAATGAACTAAGGAGACGTTTGTAATGGTGTACCCTTTTATAGGACACTTATCTTTGATATATTACTTAATCAGCAAATATCAAAGCCGATAATACATATATGTTATAAATCTAGTTGGTAAAGTGTTAAGGTTAGTTTGCAGCTTATCTTATCCAAATCGATTCCTCATGATTGCGATACGATCAATAATATTTAAAAAGCTGCTTGCTATAGAAGTTGACGGTCACACTTAACGTTTTAACACGTTATATCGATAACAAGTAATCAAAGCTGTGAAAAAATAACAGTCGCCAGTTTTGAATACAATAATATAATAATAAAACTCTTAAAATAATAGGAAAAAAATAAATTAATAGAAAATAATAATAAAATAAAAATAATAATAAAATAAAAGTAATAAAAATAATAGTAAAAAATAGTAATCAAAATAATAATTATTGTTTTAATTAATTAATACATTTTTATTCATTTTAATAATAATAAAAAAGATATTGATTATGGAAGCTAAAATGGAATTGATACTTAAAGATTTTACTATACACTAACATTTCATCAATTTTTAGGACTTATGAGCAGTGGATATAAATAAATGTAATTTATTTCTGGTCATAAAGCTTTCTGTATTTTTTAAGCAGTGTTCTGAGATAATTGGGTTCATTCCACGAAAACAGTAAATTCAGTACATAGCGTGTACTTGGATCATCTAGGTGGTAAGCACCAACGTCTAATATTTGCAATGAATCATCGATCATACTTATAATGTGAAATGTGTCAACGTTATCTTGGAACAACCTTTAAAAAAAATATCTAGTGGTATAATATAATTATATATAGTAGCATATATAGTAGTAGTCCAATATCTGTTTATATCGTAGCATAAAAATTATATGGGAAACATAAAAATCATTGCTAAAAGTTGTTATCAAATTAGTTTTTCTGCTTCGGTGCTTGGGCACTTTGATTATTTTCGACTTCAAGATTGGACAATGACGAGACGCTGATTTTAATCTATAGACTAGCAAAGAGTTTTCGGAATAAGATAACATATATTACATACATATCAGTGCAATACCAAAGTTCGTTAAGCAACAATGTAAACTTAAATTTTTTAAAAATTCTTGAGACCTATGCGAAATACTGTTAGTTAGAGTATGAACTCTTTTGATTCTTGGACTTTTTTTTTGCCACATCGTAAAAGACTTATCGTAGAGCTTATGAGTCTATAGCTTAATTATTGTTTGGCATTTCGCTTTAGAAAACCGCCTTGTTTATAATGGATATAAAACAGTTGGTTAACATCAGCTTTATGATATTATTGAATTCGTTTATTGAAATCCGTGGCCTTACGTGGATTTTGAGCGGTTTCGGCTAAAAAGCGATAAGCACAACTCGTTCGTATATAAGAGCTGCGTGCCACACATTAATTAACATTAGATTTTTGGATTTTGCGTAATGTCGTCGTCGTCGTTTTTGGGATTAACTGTATTGGGGCTGCTTTCGTTGGCAGCCTTGGCCAGCAGCGCCTCCATCAGCACCCACATTGTGGGCGGCACTGAAGCGGATATCGGCAACTATCCTTACCAGGTATCAGTCCGATTGGAGACGTACATGCTGCTGCATATTTGTGGCGGCAGCATCTATGCACCACGTGTAGTATTGACTGCAGCCCACTGCATTAAAGGACGTTTCGCTTCCTACATACGGATTGTGGCAGGGCAGAATTCAATCGCCGATCTGGATGAGCAGGGCGTAAAGGTCAGCAAGTTGATTTATCACAGTGGGTACAATAAGAAGACGCATGTGAATGATGTGGGCATGATTATAACTGCTGTACCACTGGCATACTCCACTCTGGTCCAACCCATTCCCTTGGCTGTGGACTCACCCAATCCGGGTACTCATGCCGTTGTTAGCGGCTGGGGCAAGCGCACCGAAGCAGATGAAGCACTCCCAGCCATGCTACGTGCCGTTGAGGTCGTCATTGTGGACACCAACACCTGTGGTTCTCAGTACTCGACCAAGGATTACACCATCACGGATGAAATGTTGTGCGCGGGTATTGAGGAAGGCGGCAAAGATGCTTGTCAGGGAGATTCTGGTGGACCATTGGCTGTCGATGGAATCTTGGTAGGCATTGTGTCCTGGGGCGTGGGCTGTGCTCGCGAAGGCTTCCCCGGTGTTTACACTAGTGTAAAGCATCACACAGCTTGGATTGAGGAACAGGCTGCTTCATATTTGTAAACCGTGAGAACAAAACAACAAATGAACAAATTAATCGAACAAATTAGCATTTTATATACAAATACATAATTACCTCTATATTTAAATAAACTGAGCATTAAAAATGTATTTTAATCTTAACAGTATATATTCAAATATGCTCAGCTTTCAGAAATTGAGTTAGGTTGGCAGTCTTTGCAATTTTGTGGTATTTTCCACTGTACTCAAGTGTGGTCACACAGTTTAGATATTTAACGATTTCTGCCACGCGGTCACATTGTCTTCGAGAAAACTCGTGAAGTTATAACAAGTTTAAAAGGTGACAATATTTGTGATTTAATTATTGTTGGATTGTAAACAAGAATTAAAATATGTCGCTATTTGGTGCATTAATGGGTGATTTCGATGATGATCTTGGATTCATGAAGTAAGTTTCCAGATAACATCATCTGCTGGTGATGTTCAGCTGTGTAGTTGTCGATATTGGGGCGTGGAAAATTAGCATGGAAATTGTGCTAAAAACAGTGTCTAAATGTGAAATGTATATAAAATACTGGGGCAGAAGTTAGCAGCTTGTGCGATTTTTAATTAAAATAGTTCATTCGCTGATTAGGTGCTTCGCTGGGCAGCGTATGTGCTCCGCTGTTTGTCAATTTTACACAATACACACACAGCGCAGTTTTTCGTATTGTGTTGTGTATATGGGATTGTGAATGTGTGAGTGTGAGTGCGCAGCATGCCATCGTAAAAGCAGTCGCAGCAGGAGGAAGAAAAGAAGACAAGACGGAAGGCCCGCAATTAATCGATAATTCCGATTGTACGCTTGCCTCTGTCAATATAAATAAGATTAGCTTTGCTAGACTGCAATAACAAAAACTAAGTCTTATTGCCATTATATCAAGTTCTGGAATAAGACATAACGTCATTTTCTTTAATTTTCTGTTTATTATGTCATTGTGTGTAAAGGTGATTTTTATAAAAGGAAATAAATGAAAACCCATATATATTAATTCATTACATACATTTCATAGTAAATTAAATTTAGTCTATGTTGGCTGAGGAACTCAATAAGTAATACGTCTAGCTATATATATGTATGGTATATCTGCAGACTAAAGTTGACCATGACCTGAATCTTGAAGATGTTACTTTCTAACCATATAAAATGTCATTTGTCCGTCTTCCCATACGGTGGGATATATATATAAACTGAGTCGTTTTTAATAAGGACTGTAATTGTAAGAGATACGTTACACATATGTGCCTAATATACATATTTAAAAAACAGCTGTTGTAAATAAAAGTAATCAAGTTACCAAGTTATATTGTCAGCAGAAGAAGTAAACGTAGTAGTTAGGGTACAACTGAATTCTTTCTTCATTCAAAAGCAATTGCCTCAGCAAGCGGTTGCTTTTTGAAATATCAAGCCACTTTACTCAACTAAAATATTGAAAGTTTCGTTTTCATTTCATTAGCTTTCATAACAAAAACCTTAACACACACCATTCGAGATAGGTGTTCATATTTTCGGCATACTTTATTCGAGTTATGAAACGCAAACGAAATTTAAGCCGCAAAAAAAAAACTGAGACTTCAGAAATGGACACAAAGTTTGTTTCCTTTTTTTCTGTAAATTAAATTAATATAATTGGTTTATTTTCTGATTATCCTTGCAGCAATCATATGAACCACCACATGAACGCAATGAATATGCAAATGCGCTCGATGAACCGTTTGATGAACTCGTTTATGCCGGACCCTTTCAATATGCTGGGTCCATCGCCATTCGATTCGGGTTTCCAGCAGGGAGCCTTGATGGAGCGCAGTCAACAGGCAATGGCTCCCATGGGCGGCGGTTTATTTGGCTTTCCAGCCATGCCCAATTTTAATCGTTTGCTCAATGCCGGTGCGTATTGATGGCGTAAATTATTGGAGCTTTCTTTTCTGATTGGTTTTCCTATTTTGCTTTAGATATTGGGGCAAATAATGGCTCCTCGTTTTGCCAAAGCACAGTGATGACCATGTCCTCGGGTCCAGATGGACGTCCACAGATCTATCAGGCTAGCACCAGTACCAAAACCGGACCTGGTGGTGTCCGCGAGACACGCAAGACCGTTCAAGATTCACGTTCGGGCCTAAAAAAGATGGCCATAGGTCATCACATTGGCGAACGTGCACACATCATCGAAAAGGAACAGGATTTGCGGTCCGGCCAGCTGGAGGAGCGTCAGGAGTTCATCAATTTGGACGAAGAGGAGGCCGAACAATTCGACCGCGAATTCACATCACGCGCAACACGAGGCATCATGCCACATGGTAGTGGTCACAGTGGCTTGCACGCCATACGCGGCGCTCGCCCAGCTGCCGGTGGCTCAACAGTTACCATTGAACCACTTGACGATGATGACGACGATGATTGTGTGATCCAAGAGCCGACGCGAACCGGCCGTCAATTGCCCGCTTTGCCCGCGCCACCGACGGCACCGCACAGCAGGTGAGTCGAAGGCAACTAACTTTAGTCTGTCCTGACAGTCGTTAGCAGGTTAAACGCGTCGCATTTAGTGAGTTTCATTAGATTCGAGTTATCAAAACTTTCGTTCCACTTGACACACTCGAGCTTTGGCCTTTAACACGCAATATTTAAACCTGGATATATTTTGTGTGGTTTTTAGTTAACTAATATGGCTTACAGCTGCTAACATCAATAGTTAATTGTATCCTAAAAAGATTGGATCTTAACTAAACTTGTTTTGGTTTTGTTAAAATTAAACTGGAAACTAGCAACACAAGGTATATCCAGGACACAAGGATCATAACACTATTCAGACTTAGACTGTTCCCTCTTTTGTAGCCTTTCTTTCTTCACAATGCCCGCTAAACTAAAACGTTTGTATTTACTTGCAGATATAATAATTACTAATTCAAGCAAAGTACATACAGTATATTTTACTAATAATATATAAAAATATATATATATATATATATATATATATATATATACATATATTACTTCAATATATATGTATACATGTATATCAGATTCAGAGAAACCCAAAGCAATTGCCTACAATACAAAATCAATTCTGCTTTTACATTCCTACTACGTTCAAATACTAAAACGATAAATGAGAGTAATTTGAGGTAGGCGGCAAAGCAATTTGTAATTTGTAATATATTAATTTACATGATTTCCCGAAAATTACAAAAAATAACTTTACGTATTTTTGATTCACTTTTGTTTGATTCAATTCATATGCCATAATTTACATATATACTTGCATTCACGTTAATTAAAATACCCTCAACGCGTTACGTAATGGATTGCTACGTTATAAACTACTACTACCAATACCGTAACACAGTTTTAGTGGCTGAAAGATATACGCCAGAATGTGTTTTGTTGTAATCTCTTTTACATTTTCTTCGAATTGATTCCATACTACGACGACAACAGCAACAACAGCGAAACAGCAACAGCAGCGACAACTTCGCCACGTAGCGACGCTCCAGCAACAACGTCAGGATCCTCGCCCCCAACCTATGACGTAACTAACAACAATTATTTGGGCGTCGGAAATACGTCAGCATCGCGTCGCGCCTATATGCGCAACGGTCAGCATTTGGCCACGCCCCGTCGACCGCTACGTACGCCTTCGTCGTCACCACTGGCCACTGTATCGAGCGCTAGTCACAGCATCGCCGGCACGCCAAGGTTTGTTCGCATAAGCAAAACAAGACAACAACAACAAACAAAATCAACCAAATGAAAGATATATATGCCTAGTTCCCTCAACAAAAAAAATTTAAATACGTTCAATTTCCTTATCAGTTACTCGTCACGTAACGTTACGTCAGCTTAAAGTGAGTCTTGGCTATTGATTCGTTAAATTTGTTTTGCATTTTATCCTTAAGCGTAAGGATCACATTAAATTATTTGGCTGTTCAAATTTGAAATTCTATCCTTTCCTTACGTAACGGTACGGTACGTGAAAGTGCATTACGCTCACATTGCGTGTTGCTTTTGGCTCTTCACTGTGCTGAGCTTCTTTCCTCAATCCCCTCTAAAAGAAATAAACAATTAAATAGTTTGCAAGCTTAAAAAATTTCTTAAATTTATTTCACGTCCTATCCTTCTATCCTAATCTTACGTAATGCTGATATTGCGTTACGCTATTTGGCTGTTAACCAATTTGAACTTAATTCCCTCCTACGTTCCTTACGAAATTCTGAACGAAGTAGTTTCTACTCAATTATATACATTTTGATATCTTAAATAACAACTCGCTCTATTTCTCTCTCCTCTCTACCAATATATATATACATATATATAAATAAATATATTTCGATTTTGATGCAGAGATTGGCGTTTATACAATTCACGTTTCTATCGCAAATAGAGATATCTATACGCATAATATATGATCCATAAATTATAATCAACTTATACACAAATATTTAACACACACAACTTAATTGAATGAGACGCGTTACGTGCAACGTTGCGACGTAATCACAACCACCTACTAACCAGTAACGGCGTTTGGCGACGACGCTCCAACTCGCTATTTATCTGTATCGCTCGCTGTGCTCCGTCATGAAAATCATCGCTGCGACGCTACGCATCATCTACGTTACGCATCTCTGCAACGTCACACACACACGTTGTTACGTGCCACCACATGTTACGTGTAAGGCCGCCCAAAAAATCCAAAATGAAAACTATTTACAGCTATGTACATTAAATTTTACTACTACACACATTATCTATATAGTTAATGTAAAACAAATAAGGCGACGTACACGTAATCAGCATGTTGTGTCACAATTGTCTTATTTGCGTATTACGTAAGCCCAACCACTTAAAACCCAAAAAAGAAATTTCCAGTTGAAGGGACGCGCGTGTTGGTCACATTATTGTTTCGTTGCCTGTTGACAAATTCCATTACGTTTTTCGTTTAACTCTTACGCATAAAAAACTCATCGTTACGTTACGCCACGCTACACAACGCTTAATTGGTCTACGTTAATACATTATATATTCTCTACGAACTACGTGACACAACTTCGACGCATATTTAAATTGTTGTTACTGCGCTGCTGCTGCTGCTGCTGCTGTTGCTACGTTCTGTTGTCTTACGTGGGGGAGACTGCAACAACACACACACATTAACTGCGTATCTCTCACATTACGTAACGGTGCGACTAATATTGCCCGACCATTTATCCAGCTTTATCTCTCTCTCTCCTCTCTGTCCATTTCTCATATGAATAACGCACTCACGCCTCGCCTCGCTCTCACCATTTTAAGATTTATGTTCGAATTGGCCTATGTACGGAATGATTTTCTATATAAAACTTTTACGTTATCATATTTTTACGTATTTGCGTCGTTCACCCATACTTCGATTCATACAGCTATTAATATGGTCTTTCTCTCTGTACAGCATTCATCCACATCCCTATGCTGCAAATCCCGCAGCCGCCCGTCGGCAGCAGCGTCTGAAGCATCATCATCAGCAGTCAAGCGCCTCGCGCGGATTGGAGGATGGAGTCGAGCCGCGCGTCAAGTCGGGAAAGCGGAATAAACCTCAATAATAGAATATAGGGGCAAACACACACACACACACACACACACACATACACACACACACACACGCACACACACGCACACACACTTACAACACTACAATACCCTATCAACTCACATATAAAGATCATCACACAAACAATGTTAATTTAGCCTTCAATTGCAAAGCGCCAACCCATAATACATGTTATCGATAAACACTAACCTAGGCGCACTCTATTCTAATTACACGTTATAATATACATATATATAAATATGTACATATATATATATATATATATATATTTATATATGGATATGTATACATGCAGATTCGCATATCTTTCGTTCGCTCTTTTTATTTTTATATATGGGATTTTTGGCTTGATAGAGCCCGAAATCCATGACAATTTCCCAAAGCTTTGTAGCGACACGCGTGTCCTTGTATAAAATATCCTTTTATACTTTGACATGGAAAGTGCGCGAATCTGCGATAACCCTTTGATATCGATAGTTGCACGCCGTAGGGCATCTGTTCACAACTCCACACTTGCAAACGTACACACGCAAACACTCACACATCCCTACAATACACGCGTCCACAATATACACACGGAGCTACACACATCCACCAATACACACTTATAATGTTAATAAAAATTTTTAGTTGTTTAAAAAGGTAAAAAAAAAACTAAGTTAAAACGTTTTTGAAATATTCTCAAGATTTTAGTTTTTCTTAATAGCGTGTAAGCTTAACTTTGCAGCGACTAAAATCAAGAAGCCGCCTCCTAAACTATATAAAAATAAACAATATTATTAAGACATAAGTAAATGTTTGTGAATTTAATTAAACGAAAATACATACATAGTAAATTTAAAGCGTAAACAATATATACAACTGCTTAATTAGAAATTGCCTAACTTCGGGTCTAGAGCCTAGTTTAGTCAATCATCTCCATTTGCGTTTCTTCTGATTCACGCCAATTGCGTTGAACCATTTCCACGAGCTGCTTCCAAAAAAGAGTGCGTCGGACATAGTTGGCCAGGCAGAGCAGTATGAACGCCCAGGCCAGGATTAGGTAGAAATCTGTCTTCTGCGTTGGCACCAATGGAAGTGGTCCCCATTGCATTGTCTTACGGATCATGGGGTTCAAGCTGTTTGGGTCGACAGTCTTCTTTATGTTTGTGTGCCGCGTTACAAAGCCGCGTATGCTGACTTTGTCGGTGTTGGGCGATTCGTATTTGATGAGCGGTCTTCCCTGGTGGAATATCATCAGAGTTGGCAGTGCAACGATGCCAAACTCTGCATTGAAACGCGTAAACTCATACGCGTCAATATAGGCTACCGGCAGTGTGGGTAACAAATGCGGCAACAGATTCACTATGTTCGCCACCCGAGCGCACTCGAGGCTAGTGACCGTACAGAAGTGCACTAAAACGCAACTGCCAGGCTCATGGCGTTTGGTTGCATTACCAATTGGCTTTAGGAGATTGATAATCTCCTTGGCACTTTGCATCACAAGCAGTTTTGGGGTAACTATGCTTCCATTGCCAGTTTCCTGCACTGGATCCGGCTGCAGGCATTTGATTAAAATTGGCGGTTTGCGTGGTTGCGGCTGTTCTGTCAGATGCATTATATGCTCATCATCGGGCACACAGATGCGACGTTCCTGCATTAATGCGTACGACTCAAAACTGTAAGGACAATGGCCATTGGAAACATTGCCCAAGGGTACGGAGCCTGATCGGTTTGACTGGAAATTGAGACCCAGGTATTGCAGAGCGCCTAACAGGCCAGACAGCTCTCCATGAGCTTCTGTCGCACACATACCTGTTTATACAGTAGTCATTGTTAGTGGCAGCAGCAATTGATTTGCCTATATACTCACCCAAAAGGAACAATATTGACAATATTACATTTGTATGCATTTTTGTCTTTATTTGGTTACAGTGTGGCTGCATTACTCCAGAAATAAATTACCAAAAATTATGAATTATAAATAGTCAAAAAACCTACTCAGTTTTATAGCGACTCCAACGAGAATACCAAAAATATACTATATTCTTTTGTCACATTTTAAATATTAAAATATTCTGCTATGTAATACTTTAAATTAAAAATATCGAAATACTGAATAAAAAATACTGTCGATGAGCCGAATTACAATTCCAATTAAATACTGTTCTGTTGGTATTTACCACTACTAAAGCTTACTATTATGAAACTCGAGCGTATTAATTTAAAAACCATTTTGGCCAACTTAATAAATTAAGGGCAAAATTTATGGGACCACAAGTTGACATTTTGTTATTACATATCCCACGAGTCAGCGTGTGTCAATTATGCTTGGCCATAAACACGTACATTTAACCCCTTCCTCCACACATCAGACAAATATTTTTCCTACTCAGCATTTCTGTGTGAGATTTGCATACCCTAACCAAATTTAAAATGGGGTATGCGTTGTGAAAGAAGCATGTATTATATTGCTTGATAGACTATATGTTTAAATATGTTATTGTCCTGTTGGGTAATATTTGTGTTTTACATGCTGAGTATATGGTCTATAAATACGGGTATAAAATAGTCAAGTGATGTTATTAAAGAGTCTTTGCTTGTCTTTTACTTTCTTTTGCGTTTTTAAAACCGACAACATCAATTTATCATGCTAAAGTGGTGTCCATATAAGCGGAAGTTGCTGTACAAGCTGACTGCTCAGGCCATGCCAGGCTTATGCACAACGGCAACAACAGAAACAACAACAACAGAGATGGGCGAGCCTTTGTGGCCGTTTTTTTTCCAGGGGCGTCAGTGTTGAGGGGTGTCACAACTATTTTCAACATTGTGCACACATTTCATTCATTGAGTGCATGTTGAGCATATTTACAACTAGTTACAGAACGATGATGATGACGCCGACAAGCCAACTGTGCTGTTAAAAGGCACTTTATGCGCATTTATGGCGCCCATCTTAAAATGTCAGTAGGTTTCTTGTGCCCTGCAACGATTAAGCAAGCGTAGATAGTGGCTTAATGAGGAAATGTTGCTTTAATTTCAGTTTAATTTTTAAGCATCATTGTGCTGCAGTTCTTGTCAATCGATAATTATCGATCATCTATTGTTATTTATTTCCAACTTTCCAATTAAATATTTTTTATAAATATTAAGTTGCATACAAAATGAACTTTATTCATATGGAGAAAGTTTACTGAAAGCATTATTGGGTGCCATAGCAACTAGCTGCTGTCTGCAGAGCATAGATCAGTCGTAGGTACTCGCAGTGAAATGCTTTGATAATTATCTTCTGGCAGCAGCGATAGCAGTGGCATTTGCAATCAAATGAATTCAATTGAAAATATTTCGATTCTCTCCAATGCCTAGTTATTTACAAGTTCGTATCGAGCAGCGTCTGTAGGCGGTCGGTTGGCGTGGTCGGAAGTATTCGGGGTGGCAAGCTGCGAGAGGCTGCCCGGGGCAAGTCGCCAAGTCCAAGAGCAAGTCGTCGAACTTTTTGCTCTTTCCCGGGCTCTCGATATGTGACGACAACAACAACGACAACTGCAATGCTTGCTGCGCTTTTCTTCAACTGATAAAGATAAGACCAAGGAGTTGAGTAAGAGTGCTCGCAGTGAGACTCTCGAAGCAAACTTTTGCCAGCCTTTGCGGTTGCCGCCGCTCAAGTTGGCCAGCATTTTGTGACAATTTATTTTCTATGCTTTGGCGTTTGCTTTCAACAAATCGAAAAACTATTAAATTGGGCTCTGAGCCAAAAAGGCAACAAAACTAAAAAGAATCCAGCATGAAAAGTCAAACCTTGGGTACCCTAACTATTTGGGGTCTCCCAATTACTGGTCTCAAATTTCGCTTAATTAGTGATATGGTATACTAAATTAAGTGATGATCCATAGTTGTAGAAGAGATGTTATAACGGGTATTTTGCTGCTAATAAAGGTCGGAAAGAAAGTTTAAGGCTTGTCATATTTTAAGTAAAGTTAATGCTAAAGACAAAATATCTATTTCATATATTTAATGGCTGATTGATAGCTAATCGATATTTGCCACTCTTTCAAAATTAGTTCTAGATGTTTTTTTTTATCGATTTTTAGTTTTTGCTTATAGCCAGAGTTTTTCATAAGAAATGGATCCATTTGCTAGAGTATTTAGATAAAAGTTTTACACGCCGCTCACAGCTCGGAAATTTCACTGGTTGACAGTCACGCGACTTCGCCATGGCTTGGCACATTTGATATCAAGTGCAACTTTTCACCTTTGCACGCCGTTGACAGGCTTCGACGACATCTGCTTAATTGGATAGGAAATGGCCAAGGCAGTCAAGTCAGCAATAAGATCTGTAAGCGAACCAACTGGACACATTAAATGTGTAATAAAACAAATATAAAATATTTATCAATTTCAAGTTGATTTACTATACTTTGATCAAGTAATATTAAGTGTTTTTTATTAAAGCTGAATTCTTAGATAAGTAGTATATTCATAATGTGCGTCAATTGTTATCTGCGTTGGGAGCGTGTTTATCGACTATTATCGATTATCAATACCCACTTAATAAAACTTAAGAGTTTAATGATAAGAGAACGAAGCTCTCACTTCTTCAAGAGTCCCACTGTATATAGTATATATAAGATATAATAACACTATCATATCAAGTAATTCACAACTAGTTCTTACTAGTCACAGTTCATATTCCACTCATAAATATAGCACATAACCTCACTTTCCGGATATAACCTCAATTGCTAACGGTTGGAGTCCTGTCACAGATCTTCGCCATGCAAGCACAGATTAACACTCTTTGAATAACATCCGTACATCTATAAATATGAGCTTGTTTAAAATAGACTCAATAAAAGGTAAACTACAGCTCATATTCCACGGCATGGTTGTCCTGGGAGCGGCGACAACGCCTACAGAAGTCGCAACACTAAACTAATTAAAACTTTTTGGGTTTTTTCTCTGCTGTTGGGTTCGAGCTAAGCCATATGGCATTGGACGAGAGTAGCTGTACGTGGCAACCTGGCATAAATTACGCATTGAAATCACGTAAATGCTGGCAAATTTAATCAGCCTGGCATCAGAGTGCGGCTGGTTGCTAAGCAAAAATTAAATTTAACAACATAACCAAATAAGGACACACAAAAACGAACAAAATCCGCAAAAAAAGCCAAATCCAATAAAGAAAAAAAATCGTTAGTGTCAAACGTACAAAAAATTTGCACACAGCTACGTGACTTCAATTTCTCACTTAGCCGCAGCTCCTGTCGGTCCTCGACTGCCCACAAGGATATGTCTATGGCTCTGTGTGTGTGTAGGTGTATTAGTGTGTTGTCTTTTTTTTGGTTGTACTCTCTGCCTGTCGCTGCAGAACTTTTAATCCTTTGCACTTTTGTCAATGTCAAGCCGGGTGGGTGGCCAATGACAAACAGGAAAAACAAGCTGATAGAACCCCGAAACAACATAGAAGATAGCATCGAAAGGAAGTCAATGTTTATATGCCCTTACCCACAAGAAATTGTTAATTGTCCGGCCAGAGCAGCGCTACGCTGCAGACAGATGAGTTTGATAGATAATTTGATGAATCTTTCGATTCGATATATATCTGCCATTATAGAAATAGAATCTAAAATTTGAAAGAATGATTATGTTTATATAACTCAATCTATTCGATATCTTAATATCATTGTCCATTAAGTGATTTAAGAATTGGTATATTTAAGATATAGAATCCTAAATTTAATATATTTAACCTATTAAGTATTGAGGTTCTGGGCAAAATGTACTTTATTTCTACTCAAAAATATATTTGCTAGCATACTTAAAAATACAATTGGGAAATGGCTTTACATAGGATTATATTCTTATTTTATTGTATTTAGTTTTACTCATTAAAAACCAATTTTAGAGTGTGCTTATCTCATAGAAAGCCACTCAAAACTTAGTTGCGTTGCAAACTTAATAAAAATTTGGTAGGCAGTGACCCTGAGAGTGTGTGGCCATGTGTAGCATGCCCCGAATAGTTTTCCCCCACAACGACGTATCACAAAATAAAACTAATAAAAAAATAAAAGGGCCAACCAATAAAATTAATTGATTTTGAGGTTTTCCGTTTGCTGTGTGCCAAGCGATTTTGATTTTTAGCCGACAGTTTGACCGCATTTGACGGACACAGGTTCGGCCAGAGCTTAAATGTGAATTGCTTGTAGTCTAAAGCAATGCCAAGTGCAGCTGACAGCAGGTGTGGTAACAAAATAAAGAATCTAGAGATGAAAGCTGGCCTGCCAGCAGGTGCTCTACCTGTATATGTAACAACAGCTAAACATTTCATAAAACCCTAATTACACTGGCTAGCAAGAGATGCTGAAGTTTGGTTACAAAGAGTCTGAGTTGCCATGGTCCTGCAATATCCCAAATAAAGTTGTCAATATAATATCACTTGTTACACAAAAATATGAACAGATTTGATAAGTCTTAAGAATGCCCATTTTCTGATTGAACGTTTTGACTTTTCTCGACAGCCATTTCGAGTGGATTAGTGACAAAAGGTGTCAATTGAATGCAGAGTTTGTCCGCACACCTGCGTCGCCCGTGTGCCCCTGCGTTTATTGACTGCCCTTGCCACAAAAACCCGCTTGCTACGCCGCTCGCATTATCAATTATGCGTTCGCACTGCGTCTCGTGTCCGAGTCCCGAGTCCCGGTCCTGTAAACTTGGCAATTTATTTGCACCGGAAACTCAACATAAATCAAACTAATTTCTCCAGGGATTTTTGAAACAACTTTCGACGTGTCGCCCGTCGGCTGCGCTTGTCTGTGTTTAAATGTATTTGTGTGTGTGTGCGGGTGCGGGTGCTAGTGTGTGTGTGTGTGTGTGTGTAGGTGTAGCTGACTTTGTGCCTGTTGTTGTTGGGCACGTGTTTGGGGCATAGCAAATTGAATTTGTCGCGCCATGTTGCATAATTTGGGGCCCATTGTGCGTCTAATTGGCCAAAATGGTGGAGACCAACAAGGAGCACCCGAGCTCCTTGAAATGCTGACATATAGCCGTACCAATTATTTATGCTATATACGTATTCCACTTATGAACAAGTCTAGACTTCGACTATTGATTGTACTGGGGTGTATTCTGGCACATTGTTCAGACGCTCAATCCCTTGGGAACTACACATAGGCTCTTAATTTAACTGGGTTGGCCCCAAGGGAATGATTTGATATGATATGATACGCCAATCAAACAAGATTTCAAATCGGTATATATCGATTCTCGATTAAGGCGAATACTTTGAATTTGGTGTCTACATTTTGCTGAAAATCGATAATTATCGATCTGTGAATGACAATTGAATGGCCTTACAATATGCAAAATTAACATTAAGCTTTTTGAAATTATAGTAATATTATATATAGTAATATTTGTACAAATAGCAATCCCTGAGATGGATCAAAAAACTAGCACAGGAAATCGATATGTATCTGTTATTAGATTAATTGGAATATTTATTAAAAAAGTAGTTTCTTTTGACACATGACTGAGTCGAAATCGATATATTTGTATCGATTCTTAAATAGTTATATGGGTTTTGAGCACATTCTGTATATTTATCGATCTTGCGATAGCAGAAATTGTGACTGAAATTATTCATAATTCAAAGTTAATTTTTACTGCTGTTTCAACTATGTTTTAAGCCCTCTTTCAGGCTAGCCGGGCACTTGGCCAGTTTTGTAGACAGTCACAAACACTCTCAGTAGCTTGCTTCAATGAAATATATTTCCAAAAATTTTCAGTTTCCAAGCAAAATGTCTGACCTGCTGCAATGTGTGGAAGAATTGCCAATGGAGCCGGTGCTATCGGAGCTGTCGCTGAAAGCGTTCCGTGGCGGCAACCAGCTGCCAATCTGGGATATAGCCGAGAAGGACTTTCAGATGCAGAAAGAGGAATTGGTGGTGCCGCTGCTGCTGCAAAATTGGGCACAGAATGATCCCAGGGATCTGTTGCTGAGGCTCGGCTCCAAGCAGATTTGTGTCAATCGACTGCGTTTCATGTGCTACTCGAAGTACGCCATGGAGCACCTGAAGGGTGGACAGCGTGAATTGGTGTTGCCCGAGGATCGGGTGCCGCCGGAGGGCTTGGTGCGCACATGTAAATGGATGAACGATCCAGTTGCAAAGTTGGAGCGTAGCTTTATTATGCAAGTGCTGGCGACCGCCTTGTACTTGGAGATCGAGCCGCTGATCAAGCAGGTGTGGTTCTGTCTGGATATGGTCGAAGAGTTTAGCGAGGATCAAGCCTTTGGCGTCTCCTACGAGGCACATCAGCTGGGCAACATGGTGCCCATGCTGGGCCTGGACACGACCATGCTGCATCGCATTCAGCGCTTCTTTCTCACTCTCGTCGCCAGCGTAGAGTTTGTTGAGCTGCCATTGCGGCACGTACGCTGCCTGCTCAGCTCCGAGAATGTGGCCGTTAATTCCGAGAAGGAGATTTTCTATTCTGCCGTGCGCTGGTTAACTCACGACTGGACGGCACGGGCTCAACACACGGCGACCATCATGGAGACGGTGCATCTGATGTTGATGCCACGCGAATTCATTATTGAGCTGCAGTCGCCCTCAACTGAGTCGGCGCCCAGCTGCATTATCCAACAGAACGAGTTTCAACAGCTCATCTACGAGGCCTAGTAAGTAGGGAGACTCCATTATAAACGAGCTCTTCAGCACTCATTTTCCTCCACTTACCCAACAGTTCGTCTCACACTCTAATGATATTCAACGATGGTTCAAAACTCTTTGAACAGCTTTACGATATATTCAAAATCGAGCAGCCTGTGCCGCGGCCTTTTATCTGCCACGATCTATGTCCCTATCACAGGGCGAAGCCCGATGATCCTGAGAAGGACTTTACATACGACGACTTTTTGCGATACTTGGGTATAATCCAAGCAAGTGGCCCTTCTAACTGGAAGACACTGACCGTTCAACAAAACTCCAGGTCCTTTAAAGTGCCAAAAGAAGAAAGTCTTCCTTCGTCTGAATCTGTCAGTTTGCAAAATTAGCTTTTAAAATATTGAATTTCCGTGACAAATACTTTTTATAATGAAAACAATTATGTTTTTACAATAAAATAAGAAATATGGAAATTTATAAAAAGTGAAATTTTATTTTCAGAGGTCTTTAATCAGATCAGTGTATTAAAGCAGTCAAAATGTTTTTTTTTACTTAGGAATGATCGACTAGGAGACACCCGGACTGCTATTCACAAATGCCTTTATAATAGCTAACAGCTGTGAGCTTATAATATTGCTTTACTTGAATTAAATGTTAAATAAATATTTGTAATTGAAAATTTATGGATTGTTTGAAATAAACTCGATCTCTATGTGAGAAGAAGCGCACATAATTTGGAACTCTATTAAGCTATTTTTATTATTAAAATTTAGAACTATAAAATTTTTATGCTAGAATTTTCTACATAACATTTGGCACTTTTGGCAACTTTGTCACGATGAATATAAATATATATATGTATATTGGCATTATATATGCATGCTAGTTGGAGCTGGCTGCTCTGCAGCTTTTTGTAATTTTCAAAACAATTTCCTCATCAGCGACAACAACAGCAACAACAAGTTGGGAGAAACATGGGGAATAAGTGCAACCACATCGTCAACATCGTCAGCTCGTAGCCTGTTTTGGTTTCAATGCTCGCGGCGTTGCTTGTGCGCCAACCACGCCCACCCAACATCCCAACGTCCCAACGTCCCCACAGCTCAACCACCCAAAACACTGCACTACCTAGTTGCTGTGCCTGCAGCGCACTGCACGTACATGATGCTGCTGTGACCGTAACCACCTGGTGCCAACCACCTGACTCGCACCACCGTTCCTCTCTCTACTCATGCTGCTTATTGGCAAATTGAAAATGTTGTGCGGCCAAGGAAAAGATGTCTGCAAAGTTGCGCAATGGAGATTGCTGGCAAGTGTTGTAGTTGTCGCAGTTGTTGCTGCTGCTGCTGCTGCAGTTGTTGCTGTTTTGGCCTAATGATGCTCAGCTAATAAATGCAACGGCAGCTATGGAGCTCAGGGAACGCAAGCCGCCTAAAATCGGCTTACATCAAAAACATTTGCATAATTATATTCAGGTAAGAATCGCAACTTGCAAATAGTTTAAGATGTGTGCACATCAAATTTGTTACTGTTTTTAATGCTTCTCGTTGCAATATTTTAAGTTGGTTTTATATACAAGCTGGGCATATAAAGACTGGCTATCAAACCCAGCTCTATCAAGAAGTATTCTTGGCTATTTAGGACTTCGGCTCAGGGAATATTACACGTGTTCAAGGCGCTACTGATTAGACATTCTCTGTATATTTATTCTTCATATTTATTGTTTTTAATAGATCATTATAAAACTGTGATAAAAGAGAGGAAGTTAAATAAATACAAAACATTTGTATATCCAACTTATAAACTAAATTTTCTCAATAGAGAACAATATTATAGAAATCTGTATGAATATTTGATAATGTTAAGGACTATCTTAACATTACTTGAAATGCCTTTTTTAATTATTGCGTAATCTGTTGATTATGTTGCCCACAGTCCTCGGATACTTGGAATATTGTTGGCGCATTTCTAATTAATTATTTTTGATTACTTTTGCATTAATTAAATGCCTTTTCTGGCCGGCCATGTCGTGCCATGCCTTCTAGCCGCGTGCGAGATGGAGGCTCTGCGGACACTTCTGCGCATAATAAATACTAGAATGAAATTGCTCGTGAAACAATGCATTTCCGGTTGTTCGATCCACCATTCACATGCCCCATTCACACTTCGCCCTCCACACTCCACATTCATATAGCCCATTCCTGCGCGTCTTCCTCCCATTCACATTCACATTCACATTCACATGCCTTCCGTTCACATGGCATTGGCGCTGTTTCCGCTTCAATTTTTATTTCGCGCGCCCGCCTCGATAACGCTTCGCAGCTGCAATAGAGTGGAGACAGGCGAAGAGCAGCGCGTGGGGAGCACTAGTGGGTTGCCTCGGCTGGAGTTCCTAACGCCTCAGCATTGGAAACTGTTGAAATTGTTGCCTGCTTTATGTTGTCATTCCATTAATTATCGCTCGTTATTTTAACTTTTAGCATGGAGCGCAGCATTTGCGCTTCTGCCTCTTCTGCCTTGAATTTTTTTGCCATTGTCTGCACTTTACAAATACTTCATAACATTTGACAAGCTCTTTCTGTTTTTGGCTTTTATTTCTTTGTGTTTTATGTCCTCTTTTATTTTTATTTTCTTTTTTTTTACTATTTTGTGGTGCCAACGCCTTTTGTTTGCACATTAAATGGCGTCGGCGGCCATGTGAATTGTTGGTGTTGGTGTTGGTGTTGGTGTGTGTCGCGGTCGGGGTAATGAATTACTAGCCACATGGTTTTTGTGCGCTGCCGCCGCCCGCTGTCTCGCAACAATGACATTGCAATTTTTAGCCAACCCCAACAATGTCAGGGACAACCAGTGCCACGGGGGCGGCTGAGCGAGGCGACTGGGCGGGGTGAAGCAGTGGTCGCAAAAAATGCAGACACGACTACGGTCGAACCAGGCGCAAAGGCGGCCAGAAATTATGCGGCTTTAATTGGTCGCAAATCGTTAAATGCTTAAAACTGCTGCAGCAGCAGTTTTTATATGGTGGGGCAAATTAATTTAATGGCATTTTAAGGCTATACATAAAGATAAATCGAATCGAATTACCCACATATTATACATTTAATATTATATTAATGTTATTTATTTACTAAAATATTATTATATTACATCAGTTTTAATTTTTATTTGAGATAAATTTGTATTTATGTGAGCAAGTCTTTATAAATTTATTTACTTAAAATTTTATTTTTTATTTCTTATTTATTTATTTATTAACTTGTTTAGATTTTTATTCTTTTAGTTCTTTATTTATTTTTTACTAATTCGCTTATTTGTTTCATTGTTTACTTATGTGATTTTTGTTTACTCAATAATTAATTTTTTTATATTTCACTTTTGTATTTATTTTATTTTATTTTATTTTTTCATTTTATTTATATATTTATTTTTTTGTTTATTGTATTTATTTATTTAATAATTAATTTATTTATTAATAATTCATTTATTTATTTTACATTTTGTATATATATTTTATATATTAATTATATATTTTTATATATTAATTATCTATTTAGTTATATTTTTCTTAATTAATTTATTTATTTATAATTTAATTTTTTTACTTTAATATAATCATTAATTTATTTTGTATTTTTTAATTTTATTCAATTATTTATTTATATGCTTGTGCTGTCCGCTACTATTATACATATATACATACATATATATTATATTTAGTCGTAAACACCGGCAGTATTCACATGATAATTAAGTGTAATATGCTTGACCTATGATCGCTGGCTTAGTATGATTAAGCCGAAGCGTTGAGGGAGCAATAAGAGCATGTGAAGACTAGAGAGAGATAGGGGACGAATAAAAGTCTCTCATAATTCGAAATCTAGTGGGCCAATTGCATCTAAGTCTTGTATTTTTCTGTTTATGTGTTGTGAATAATGTAATATTATACAATAATACATTATGATGAGGAATATACATGAATTAAGTTAGTAGCTAGTTTTGATAGGTTTCTTAGTTTCTACACTAACTAGGATCGGATTTTTGAAATAAATTGAATCGTAGTGGGCTAGGATTATGCTGCTAAAATATGTATGACAAAAGAGTGTTGATTATAATCTCAAAAGTTACAATAGGAAGATGATATTTTTTGTTTTAAGTTTGTTGCATTTATTGCGACTCCTTGGGTATACGTTGCTAAAGTTTGTTTTCAATAACTCGATTAATAATAATAAAAAAAATGTTTAATGTGCGTCGACTATCACTGTTTTCACCACCTTCATCAGTAAGTTGATAAGCAATTATGTTTTGGTAAATTGAAAATATGGCGTTTATCTTTTAGCTTTAAAGCGGGCTAAGGCATAAAATTAAGGCATTAAAATGTATGGCACTGTGGACTATCCAATGGAGACTTCAAATATTTTCCAATTAACTCGCAAATCCACTTCTGTGTGCCATACTTGTAACGAGCCACGCATTTATTGGGGGCTACGCACATTTTTCACTGATTGGTTTTATGAGTTGTTAACAATCGATTGCATGTTTTTTGCGGCCATTAGTCTGCCGCTACAGGCGGGGCCCATGTTGCCTGTGGGCGGTGGCACGCCCATCAATAGTAACAGGCATATAATAAATCATGTTGTACCTATTGTAGGCAGCGCACACACGCGCAGCAGCTACTTTGATTCATTGCAACGGGCAGCAGGGCATGAACCGTGGCAGGCGGAATGGGAATTAGGAGTTAAAACGGATGATAAATAATAAGCAACAAAAGCTGACAGCAACAATCACAGATGCCTGCGGATGTCTACATTTAGTAGCTGTTTAACCAAGTGAAAGTGCTTTAAGTTCATGGTATAGAACCCGATACCCTACACACATAATATATAATATGTAATATATATCAAGTATATACCAAAAAGTTTCGTAGTCGTGTCAAAATTTAACTGTAATTTGCTATATGAAAATATAAAAAATGTATATAAAAATATATATTACTTTTTCTGAAATCTTTTGGCAATTATAGATTTTTTTAATCTATATCTATATTCAATGATAACTTGAACATACATAAGACTTAGAGTTTTAATCTTAAGATTAAAATATTTATATAGGAAATGATGGTATGAGATTCCAGGGATATACTATATATATGTATAACTTATATTAAAAATATATATATGGTTTCGATATTAAATCTTAAGCTGCTTTGATTTCTGTCGTAGTCAGATGCATATATATTTATATATATATATATATATATATATATATATATATATAATATATATATAAATATATATATATATATATAAATATATATATATATATAAATATATATATATATATATATATATATATATATACAGAGAGAGAGAGTCCAAAAGAGTTGGAGAGACAGGGCTAAATAAACTCTGAT